TACACTTAACTGCACAATTTTTGTATTGTGTCTATCAGCCAAGAAATTGTTTAATGAAGACAAAAATTATGGGCGCAAATTCGTTCAATATTACCAAATGCGCGGAGGTTTCTTTTTACCATTTTAACAGATTTTATCCGATTTTTAAAATTCTTTCTGTGTGATCATGTGTAAACCTTTATTGTTTATGAATACATTGGTGTACTTCATTTGTCAAATGAAAACGAATAAACACACTAATCAAGCTGTCTAAGAGCGAGATGGCCGTATTTTCCCAATCTGCGCGTGAAAAGGTCCCTACTCCTTCTGCCGCGGTGCTCAAAACTTTCCGTTATTAGCATTGCAGTGTCCACGCCCTGTACTGCGTTAACGACCGAAATTTTCCCAATATGCAATTATTATTTTGCTTCTAAAATTCTCTGATAATTAATAATATATCGTGACATGTAATTGTAAGATAACAAACCTCGCGCGCGGCGCTTACATCTGCACCTGAGAATCTCTCAGCAATGTGTGGCTGTCTGCGCAGCGGGCTGTGAATTGTGTATATAGCTGAATTTAAATTTAGATTGTAAATGTATAATAATATTAAATATGTATTGATTGTTTTGTGGTAAATAAAAATTTTGTTTTACTAAAAATTTTGTTTTACTACGAGACGGACATTTTGTTGAAAATGAAGGAAGGTTCTATCTATTTCACTTTTGGAAATATTGCCCGGCTGGTAGGGTTTGCTGGGTTGGCTATGCCTTATCTGGGGACCTCAGGCTATCATGTTCATTAACAATGGATGACAGGCTGAGCGCGGCCCAGTAAGCTTTACTGGGCCGCGCTCAGCCTGTCATTCCGCCAAATCTTTATTATATGTTAATGAACATAATAGCCTGGGGTCCTCAGGTAAGACTGTCAACGCGCTTGATTGACGATGTCAATCCTTCGAGATCGTTGCTCTGCGAAGCAGAGCAACGATCGTCGACGATGCGAAGCAAGAATGCTAGTTTGCGCGGCGCGTCGAAGCGGCGAAGTCCTCCAATCAACGAGCGTACTGACTTTTGTATTGGTAGGTTCACTAGTGACTAGGTTATAAACTTACAATTTAATAGACAAGTAGTAGTAAGCTATGTAATAACTAATAATTCGCGTCGAAATCCCTGCAATTCAACGATCAACGATGCGAAGTTGCTCTATCCAGAGCCCTTGCGCTTGCAGTAGCGCGCGCCCGCCTCACGGCGGTAAGTTTCACAAGTTTTCTTGTGAAACTTGTGAAACCATGTGCTTTCGCAGTGGCGCGAAAGCACTTGGTTAGGTGAAATGCGAAGCAAAAATGCTAGTTTTCGCGGCGCGTCGCGTCGAAGTCCTCCAATTACTAATATAAACAAAAAAGTTTACGGATGTTACTCGTCTAAATTTCTTCGAAGTAGCGCGCGCCGACGGCACGAGCTACGAAGTAGCGCGCGCCGGGCCAGATCATTAACAATGGTCAAACAAAAAAGTAGAAATCTAATCCTGCCCGTTTATAATCTAACAAAACGCGCGCCGAGTTAATATATTATTATTTAAACTCGTCGACAGTCTAATATAATATTTGGAACGAATATTTATATTTTAAGTTCACCCGTTAATTTTTTCGATAATATCTAAACACATCTAAAGAAAATGAAATTATTTAGACTGTCGTGCATGACAGTCTAAATAATTTCATTTTGTTTGTTATTGCGATCGTCTATTAGTATTATGTATTAGAATTATTCCATTACACCTAACCATGTGCTTTCCACTTTCGCACCACTGCAGGCGCGCTTGTTTCACTGGGAGGTGGGCGTGCGTCACTGCAAGTGCAAGTGGAAAGGGCTCTGGATAAAGCAACTATTCCACCATCCACTGCTCTTTCCAATAATGTATAACATCGGCCATGCACATTGACGTTACATGACACAATAAGTTCATCAATGAAGAATCACAACTCTGAGTGAGTGGAAATTGTAAAAAGAATCTTTCAAGTTTGAAATCGTCGACGGTCTCTTATATTAGGAACAAATATTTGACAAGTACAGTATCACCAGTTAAAAATAAATTTTTTCGGTGAAAAGTGGTATAAAACGTGTATCAAGGGACGGGAAAAATGTTTAATTGTTAAAGGTTTTTTGCGCGCTTTTCGATAAAGCACTTTGTGCTGTATCGTATGCAAATTTGTCCCTATATATTGCAATTTAATAGTAACTTATATAAATGTATGTAATACAATTATGCCCAAAAATTATTTAAAATTAAAATACAATTTTAGGTGCGCCGCGCATATTTTACCGAAGTATGAAAATCGAGCGCTATAGCAAATCTTTATTGGTGTTATTGTTGTTTCCCATAACTCTTTTTGCGGTTTGCCTCTATTTAACTATTGTTTTGATGTGTAATCGGATTATTCACTATATTTTAGTGCTTTCTTATTAGTGTGGACTAAAAAGAGCTTGATGCAATTTGAACTGTGCACGATTTGGGGTGTACTTCTTGTAAGGGTTACAAATTGCGAGGGTAATCAATCTCGCCAACGCAATAGCAATACTTAATTTCGTTGTAACATCATCGACAGAATGGACTGAAAACACCCAGTAGAGACCATGTGTCCATCTAAAACATACTCTGGGAGCTAGAATTGGAAGTTTGTTTAATATTTAGTAGAAATTCATATATAATACATAGTATGTGTTCGTATTGCACAGGAGGACCAAAGTGCAAATAAACTGCTGCTAACTGCTGCTAACTGCTGCTCACTGTGCTAACTGCTGCTCACTACTGCTAACTGCTGCTGTCAAACGCGCCATTTGCAGCAGTTATCAGCAGTTTTCAGCAGTTGTGTGCAGCGGTTTCTTTGCACTTTGGCCCTCCTGTGATTGGTGACATGGTTATAGAGAATTTCAAGTAAATTGGAATCATTACATTTCTTTATTACTGTGTACTGTGTTTGTTTTTATTACCTACTTTCGTAATGAATTATTTTGCACCACGAATGAGTAAATGATAATAAATTTCAGGTAATGTCAGAAACAAGAAATGTGTTCCTGTTTGTTGCTGCATTATTAAGCGTTGTCACCTCATCAGATGAGATATTGAAGAATATAGATTGTCAACATAATGTCTGCATCCCTAGCAATTTTTCTCACCCAAGTGAATTGAAATGGATGACATCAGTGGTCATCAAAACAAAAGGCAACACTATTGAAGATTACGAATCTTCTGTTGCAATAACTGTAGATGTCGGGGAGACTCCTAGCTATCTGAGTCACACTCTTACAACTTCTGATGAGAGAGACGAATACTTCCATGTTAACTCTGGATTGTGGATATCTCAACTTCCTCTCCTTGGAAATGGATTTTTGCACTCAATTTCTTTGAATATAAGCCATGGTGGGGTGATTCAAGTATATTCTTTGAGCATGTATGACCAATGTAACAGATTTAACATGTTTTGGAGGTGTTTGGACAACTCTTCTGCTCTAGAAGCTGATTGGGGTAAAGATGTTAGCTCTGCAATTGATGAACTTGAATATCTCTCAGCAAGTTTGCTTGAAGACACATTTTATGTTGTTGATGATTATGATGTGCCTTTAACGAATACAGGAGATCAGGATGAAATTGTAGATTTCTTAGTACAAAAAGGACACTATATTGGATTCGAGTCTGTCAATGCAACTTTGTTTTGTAACAGTTTTGATCCAATTGACGCAATAGTATACACATATCATGAAACTCCAGCTTCATCGAAATTGGCTCCATTCTTCACTCTACATTTCCGTTACAAAGCATATCAACCATATGTGCTGAAGTTGACGGATGAGATAACATCCTCTCTTGATTATGAAACTGTTGATATTTCCAAGCATTCTATGTTGAATGCAACTGATGGAACCCTCTCTATTTCGAAATCATTAACAGGATATTTTTCTTCGTACACAATGATTTTGGAGATTCCTCAATGGGATGTGCTGTATAACAATCATGATGCCGTCTCCTTTAATTTTCTAGCTATAATTGATGGAAATTTAGGTGGCATGCCTAACACTTCCTGGTCTTTGAACAACATAATGAACATGCCACCCCCTATAACATTCCACATTTCAAACTCAATCATAACATATCCTGATACCAAGTTGAATGCTTATCTAAAGAGTGGAAATGATAAAGAAGCCCTTTTCAAAACTTCCATAATAAGTTACAGATGGAATCTTGTTGTATTGCCCAGCGAAACTCCTATCAAGTTCTCATCAAAGAAGGAATTCAGTTATAACGATCTGGTTATGCCTGGAAATTATCGTCTTACTTTAGAGTTTGACACTAACGACAATATGACATTCAGTACGTTTTCTGACATCGAGTATGTCTCAGATGTTTTTTCATTTATCAGATGCCTGTTCAACTGTGACCCATCTTTTACCACCGGTTATGCTGACTTACATCTTTCTGTCGATGTTGCCATTTTGTCTAAGGTCAACTATGAAATAGTATCGGCAAAGTGGAGAGTGGTTGAGAATGATAACGGGAAGTTAATCACTGATAATGTAACGCTCTTTGATGACCTCGTCGAACTTTCCATTGACACCTCAATATTAACCAAGAAGTATTACGTCGTCAACTTGATTATTGTAACTGCTCAAAGAAATATCTCTATTCATGATGACTACCTGTTCAATATGTCCTACCCGGAATACATTCTTGACTGTTCTGTTGAACCCTCATCAGGAATTTCGCTTCAAACTTCACATAACATAATTTGCGAGCCGGTTATAGACAACATAAAATGTTCACTTTGTGAAAATTCTGATAGCACCTTGTGTAATCTCTGTAGCCTGGATTATACGTATTACTTTAAGTCATGTCTGGACCATGGAGAGTGTCAGATTCTATATCCTCTGACCCTCGGAAGCCTAACTCAACCAATACTTACTGGTATTTATCTCCCAGTAGGTAATGAAAACGAAAATTTTAATTTGACAGTGGTTGTCTGTATGTATGATAATAAAGGTAATGTGGAGTATATTCATAAGCTCGTGTCTGTTACTTCAAAACCTGATCCTCTACTCAAATTTGATGTCATACTTGATGATCTTTCCTCTGGAATTAATAACAGCAGCACAGATGAAGAGGTGTTCCAATCTGTGAAGAAGGTTGGGGTTGCACTGTCGCATGGCGAAATTAACGAAACTGTCCAAAATCAGCTGGTAGAATTCTTAAAGAAAGTTGAACAGCAGCACAATGACGTTTCCATGGCAATGTTCTCCGTTTTGTACCCTTTGTCTCAAATGAAAGTGAATGATGTTATTACGAGCAACTTGAGCTCTATCACTAACATTACGTATCAGAGCATACAGAATGCTCCGGAGGAGGTTGCAAAGTCTGCTAGTAATGCAATGCTATCTATCATGTGGAACGTAGTTGAATCTAATGCTGAAATATCGAATGTTCAAACGGAAGTTCCGGAATTGAATCTTTACTTTATAACAGAGTCTCCTGACAAAGCATATTACAATAAATGGGTGGATTTTGATATCGAGGAAGAATCGCAGACAAAGAATGACACTACAAGAAGCAGTGATGTATGTTCAACCCTGCAAACGTTGCAAGATTACGTTTCAAAATATCTGCAGAACGGGGCAGGTATTGGAAAAGTCTCTTCTCTGGACCTCCCTAATGTACATTATTCTATCGGAAGGCTGACAGCTGCAATCTTACTGTCTGGTAATCAACTGGTTGGGAAAAAATTTCTCAAGGTTCCCCCTCCTCAGTTCATTGATGTTTCATTCACCGACACTTTGAGCATTTCATTTGTTAAATTCACCAGAAATCCATGTATTTTAACTGAAAACTCAGATCGCATAAAAAGTGTCGTTATTGGACTCAATATTACTGATTCCTCGAGTCCAAGTAAGATTGTTGTTGAAGATTTCGAGACACCTCTAGATGTTCTCATACCACTGAAAGGAGCACACTCACTCCGCGAATTCATTTACAATCCAGATTACAATTGGCTATATCTACAGCTGGACATTTTTACCAAGCATCACTCTGTCCTGTTCCTCGAAATTCTGACCACAAGAGCAACAACACTTTTGATCAAACATGGTAGTCTTCCAAAACTTTTAGACCATGACTTTAGACTTGAATTTCCCAATTCAACAGCAGACAAAGTGAAGGAAGAAAAGCTGGATGATCTTGAATTTTCGCCTCGTCAAAATTCGAGCACAAACACCATTCAAGTTCCTATAAAACGTAACGGTACATTCTTTATCGGGGTGAGAGTTGACGGGACAAAAGTGAGGAGATTCTGGTTACTTGCCTACGTGACATCATGTCTGAAGTGGACCGGTATAGGTTGGTCAGTAAGCTCTGATAATGTGGGCATTCTCTCTAACTCTACCACAACCCACTGCAAGTTCAATGAGTTGTCCTTGTATGCTGCTGATTTGAGTTATCCCGACTTAGCTGAATTCAAGAAGCCTGTGCCTGAAGAGGATGAGTCGTTCCGGGTTCTTGATGCTCTCAAGATATGGCTTCCTCTAATCGTGGTGTATGGTTATCTTCTTTTAACTTTCACTCTAATCCTGCGGTTATGTGATCGGGACTTGAGAAGTAGTAATCTACTACACTTGCTCTCTTCTGAAAGAACTGAGTACAGCTATAAGATAGAGGTAAGGACAGGACTCAGACCTAAAGCTGGGACCACTTCTCAAGTTTATTTAGAATTGCATGGCTCCAAGGCCACCAGGAAAATTAAGATCAAACAGAAAAATGGGGAACTCTTTGAAACCAACCAGACATCTACGTTTCTGTTTTACTCGGATATCAATGTCGGGAGTATTGATAGGATCAACATTTGGATCGATTACAGCGGAAACCGTCCTGACTGGTTTTTGGAGTCGGTAAGAATTACAAACAGCAAAGATCGTGTTTACATGTTCATCTACCACAACTGGATTGGTTACGACATAGAAAAATACGTCTGCAGTATTCCCAGGTTCCGTCCTTCTGAGATGTCCTTGGTCAAGAGACTAACCACGTGTTGGACTGAATGTCTGGTGAATTATCACACTGGACTCTCAAATCTGTTCAAAGGAACTAGAATCTTCCCTCTCAGGACCTATCTGACCTCATTGTTTGTGTTGAGGTGCCTGACCCTTCTTTGCCTTGTTGTGGTCACCTTTGAGGACTCTCTTGATGATCACATATCCTTGGCCGGTTCTTTGAAACTAACCCTCTTGTTATTCTCAACTTACCCAGTTTTCTTTATTCTGGAGAAAAGCCAAGAAATTCTATGCAAGAATGAACGTTATAATTTTCTTGTCAAGAAGATGTTGAATAGACATGAGAGCGATTCATCAATTTTCAGTTTTGATATAGACAAATATTTTTGGGTAACTGCACCTGAAAAAGGGGGCAAAAAACATGGAAAGTACAATTCTCTTCAAAATTCAGTTCAATACTCTGAGCCCTCCCAATGTTCCCTGGACGAATATTTTCGACTGACTGCAAAGGTTGAACCAGAGGATTCAGTTATGAAAAATGGAATATTCGACCATGGATCTTTAAAACAAGCTAACGAGGAAACATTATTGGAATATCAAAGTGTAGGATTAGGAGATGCCAAAAGAAAAGTCAAGGTAGATGACTACTTCAGGTTCTTCTGGGATGATGCCAGTTCAGTCGGTAGCAGTGATACAATGTCTTCACTTAATTTCAATGTGTCCTTGAAACCGTTGGCAGCTCTTCCTAACTTGACCTTCAAATTTTACTCAAAAATTCTGAAAAAATCCCTGGCGATATTTTCCTACATTGGCATCATAACAACAACTTGCTTCTACCTATTTTACACCTACACTAGCGACTCAATCCACATACACACCTGTCTCATGTACTACCTGATGTTAATGGTCCTGTTTCTGTTTGTTGAGCAGCCTCTGGTGTGCGGAGTTATCACCCTGATATACTCCCGTAGGCTCTGGTACGGAATCAGTACTCCTGACTCACACTGTGAGACACTTCTCAACCACGGAGAGGCTGCTGGGAACCTCACTCAACATCCTGAAATCAGGACATGGGATCGTACTGTCAGCAAGCGACGTAAGATGAACACTATCATCACAAAGTTGTTCAGCTATATTACTTTCATTATCATCGTCGTGGTGTTGTCTAAACAGGATCGTCAAACTAACTGCTACTACTTAAACAAGTCTGTTCGCAGTGTTTTTGCTACACCTGCCTTTGATGCAATTGAGACGAATGATAATTTCTGGAGCTGGATACAAAACGATTACTCCTCAACCCTTTCTAGTGAAGACTTCTTTGAAGGAACACGAACTCGGCCGCCTAAAGAGAACTATCTCAGGGACAGCAGCTCTTTCATTATTTCCATTTCACGTCTGAAGCAAGTAAGAATTAAACCCACCACCTGCTTAACCAACAAAAAGGAGCTGTGTAACGAAGGCTACAGCAGCTCACTGATTGAAAAAACAAACTTTGATCCAAGTTGGAAAGAACACACACCTGCAGCGGACAATGCTTGGTTCTCTACCATAAGATACAAGTCTTACTGGGAGTATAAAGATGGTAAAGATGGGGTGGCTGTCAAAGGGCACTCTGGTCTTTACCCTACTGGAGGGTATCAAGTTCCCATTGCTAATTCTCCTATCAATGCCAAAAAACAACTGAAGATGCTGGAACAAGATGGATGGATTGATGAACTGACCAGGGCCGTCTTGGTGGAATTATCAGTGTACAATCCACCTACTGGTTTTCTGTGTACCGTCAAGCTTATCACAGAATTTTTGCCAACCGGTACTGCTGTATCAGATGTCCAATTACATTCTATAAACTTTTTGAAGTACTCCAAACCCATAACCCTCTCCATAATCCGAACGGAGCTGCTGTTCCTGATAAGCCTGCTCATCCTGACCGTCCACTACATTTACCTCACGTACCAGGCTCACAGCGACGGTCACACCGTTTGGAGGGGGTTCTGGAGCTTGTTAGATTCTGTTACACTCCTTGCTGGGTGGATGAGCGTCGGTATGTACATCTACAGGTACATATACATCCAAACTGCTATTGCGCAGTTCCAAGCTACACCGTACTATTATATTGACTTTCATCGTGCTGCTGAAGTTGATATCTACTTTGGTTACTGCTTAGGTTCGTTGGTGTTTCTTGTTACTGTGAAGATTGTTGACCTGACAATTGCTCACGTCAAGATAAAGCTGATGACTCTTGTTATTCACAACTCTCTTGTGGAACTGTCCTCTTTTAGTGTCCCGTTCTTCATCTTGCTGGCTGTGTTCTCTCAAACCTTTTATTTCTTGTACAGCTCCAGCATGCCCGAGTTTTCCTTGCAAAACTCATTCGGGATGACACTTGCTTTCATTCTCGGAGAGTACAACTGGGATGCGATGATGAGGTTAAGACCGTATCTGACACCATTTCTTGGTTTGTTACTGGGTCTACTGTCCGTCACTTACCTAGCCAACATGTTCGCAGTGATCGTATGTTACAACACCACATATATCCGCATGAACCCGCCTACCTCACAACACTTAGCTATATTCGGCTACCTCACCAAGACTATCAAAAATATGGTCTTCTTCGTAGTGCCCTTGTTGGATGATCTCTACACTTTGGTTAAGAGGAACATGCCTGGTGGAAGTGGAAAGTATAAGAATCCTTACTACAAAACGATTTCCTCGGAAGGAGGAAGTAGCAATGCTTCTCTTCACGCCTCTGAAGTAGAGATTCAAAACGTACCATCAACTATTCCAACAGCTGGTCAGGAACAAAGCGAAAGTATCAAAAGGATGAGATCAAAACTGAAGCGTCAAACCAGGACTCTGGGGGACTTGAACAATCTGCTTAATTGCGTGGAGTCTCGTCTTGAGAGAATTACCGGTTGTTAAAATGTTGGCAATACAAGTTTTGACTGTTTAACATTATAAACGTTGTAGAAATATTATTTGTCAGATTTGAAGTAAGGAGGCAGGGGGTGTTTGAAGTTATGGGCTTACTCCTGCTATGAAGTTATGATCGATATTTATTTAACATCTATTTTACATTAAATCAGTGAAAAGTAGATCTTGGTATTTTTTAAGTGGTTACCAATCAATTTCAACATTCTCAATTCAAACTCATGACCCCTTAGCTGCCCCTCTTAACGTTGACACTATATTAGCTGGGATATGCTGTAAAATGGATCTTATCCATTTGTTAAAAACTATCTTTAAGTTTTAAATATAATTGATATTTTATTAATTGATGATTGCTAACTAATAAAATGAGTAACAAATCGGTATTTCTTTATCATCGTATTTACCCTACTTTATGAAATTTCAAGTATTAATGTATTCATATAAATTGGTAATTAGTTGCTTAATATCAGAAAATAATGATCGTTTTACTGAACCTAGGAATATGGCATCATCTGACCGCGATTTTGCTAAATATGGCGCGGCTTTCCTAAATTCAAACGCAAATCTCAATAAATGAGTTTAGTTCTCAGAATTCTTTTGACGTCGTTAAATACCCCAAGTGCTGTCTGCATTAATATTACGAGATCTTTTCTTTGTTCTAGTTCCTGTCACATTGATTTAAATTGGTTCCCTATGAAGAGCTGAAATATGCAAATTATTTCGAGCCCAAAGTTGAACCTTTATGGGTGGTTGTTTCAATTAGTTTCATTTGGTACAACTATAAATTTAACGAACCAAGTCTTTAAAAATTAATTTGTCGAGTTTAAACTTACAAAACTACAGAAGAATTTCTAAAACCCCCTGTAATTTTAATTCAACAGTGTGTTACTACTGCACCCACTCTTGATCTTGGAATGGAAATCTGCAAAACCACTTAGCTCTTTGATGTTTCCCGGTATTGAAATTGTTACTCCACTCCAGTCCTTACTACTTACTTACTAACTACAGTCCAGCTGAGGAATATCACATTAAATTACACAAAAAACAAAACTGCTTATAATTTGTTATGACTTAAATTTCACCATTATATTGCAATCTATTCATGTGCATTTAAGTTGATTCCGTTGGCTGCTCGAAATCTTAAGTTTTGCTGTTATCTGTGAAGTAATATCTCTCTACAGTCAGAATGAAAGTGAGCAAATGAACAATTGAGCACAAGATGAGCACAAGATAAGCGCATAAAGAAGGCAATGTGAGCACTAAAAGTTCAATAACTGAGCACTCATCAGACATTTTTATATTAATTTTGCTTAAATTCGTGCTCAACTTGTGTGCACACAGTACCGAAAAAGGGATATATTGATACCGTGATCAGCATTCTGCATGGTATCATATTTTATTGTATAAATGTTTACCAATGGGCACTTTCAAAAACATCTGTCACTCCAGTGCAGGTTATGGTGTGCAATATCCTAACCTTTACTTTCTGCCACTTTTTGTTTCGATTTTGGGCTAAATCTGGTGGATTTATTTAGCTAAATCTATCGTAAATTTACAGGCCAATCAATGACATATCCACCCAACCCTTCTGAAAAGTATATCCACCATTATTAGCCCGGAGTTAAATGCATTTATCTCTGCTCATAGGCATAGTAGACATTTTATTCTTTTTGTAAATGTTGTACTATCGCAAACCTGTAGATGTCCCACAGTTTGATCAAAAAATTGAGTATATCCACCAAATGTGAGCTTCTAGAAGACGACATTTTTCCCGTGACAGATTCGCTAACATAGTTTTTGAAAATGCCCCAATACTTAAGCATGTTATGGATTCCTGATAGTTTTGGAGCATACCTAATTGTATCTTTTCAATGTGGAGAACTTTCAAGAGGTGAACTGCGCTTCTTCTACTAATGTTTGCTAAATTCCACATAGCACAGGTGCATTTGAAGCTGATTCTTGTTATTTGAAACCTCCCTTACAGTTGATTGATGACGTAATTATAATCAGGTCTTAGGAAATATGTTATTAAATTACATGCTGTTATGATGCCAAGTTGAGGTTCGTAATATTCCGTGTTTTGAGTTTCACTGAAAGTCAAAACTCAGAATACGATGGCATTCGTATTTGATGGCATCAGCATCAAATTTTACTTTAAACTTTATGGTTTTTTGTTTGCGGTATATCGTTTTACCTCTTGTTAACGTTTCCTTGTTCGGTTGATGCAATACAGACATATTGCAGTGTTAAAGTAGGTTCCAGATGTTTTTAAGTGCTGCAGACCAGCTTCATGGCAACAAAAACAAGGTTTTTAAAAGGTTACTAGAAAGAAAAACTCCTCTCAACGTCTTCACAACTCTAGGATTTTCCAAGATAACTGACATCCCGCCAAATGCGAATGTAGCTCCCAACCCAGAAGCTGATACTTCAAGACACCAGGAAACAGCTGATGATTCGCTGTACTCAGATGAGTCGCTGTACTGTTTGCCTCAAGACATCCAGAGTGCAGTACAGCAGGTGCTAAGATCAGGAAGTGACAGTAGTAGTACCAGGACCAGTTCCACCTCCAGTACCAATCAACAATCCGGACCTCCTTTAATTCCAAAACCGCCACCCCCAGTCCCACGACGTTCGTCTTGTACTTCGTCGAGCACTGCAAATCTAGGACCGCCAATTAGAAGCCAATCCAAGGGCTCTCAAATAAAAGAGAAAGGTGGATTCTACAGAAACATGTCGAAGCATGCAAACAAGAAAGACAAGAAAGACTACGCTGGAACCTCTAATTTCAGAGCAAGTCCCGCTGTTCAGGATGCTATCCTGCTAGTGAAATTTGGTACAGATGGTAACAATGATGACGTCTACGAAGACATGGATGACGGTGCAAGGCCAGATATAAATGTCAATACATCGCTGGACAAAGATTCACTTTTATATGAAGATATCACAGTGCACAATTATACCAAAGAGAGGGTTGAGAAAGATTTAAAGGAGGAGATTGAAGTTAAAACGTTGGCTCTTTGCTGGTGGAGTGAGAAACTGAACAAGCTGACGGACACTGCAGAGCAAAGGTATTCACTATTCAGGTTAAATCTGGCTTTTAGGTCTTAACAACTTTATAACACCTAGCCTGCAATCAATGCCTTTCTTGATTTAAAACAATGAATTATTTTAACTATTTTCTTCTCGCTACAACAGGATTGAACTGGATCCAGTGTTTTGTGGAAGAATGCAGGAAATGTTAGCTATCACAGTTCTTTTGTCAGGGGGCACAATTCTAACTCCCTCTCTGGGATCTGTTGAGGCAAGTTCTCTATTTTAGACGTTGCTATTCGATCTCTGAATGCGCAATTTCACTGCTCATTTCCATTATTTGAATGCCACATTTTCTTGGATTAACACAACTTGAATTGCAAGCACGCGAGCGTGGTTTACCAGATCCTTGAAATTGTCAGTAAGCTTCTGGTTTTTCACTAATTGTTTTCTCATTAAGCTTTTATCCCTACAGGTGGGAATTATATTCGGCTTGATCTATGATATCCCAGAATTAGTTCAAGTTAACACACAGTGGATAAAAAATCATATAAAGCCGGCCAACTTCTTAGACATAGTCAATATGTACGATAAGATAAAAGATTACGGCTCCTGCTCTGATGTTATCCACATTATCCGGCAATTTGTTCGAACAGCTGCTTCGAGTGAAGTAACAGGTATCATCTCCAATTTGATAAAACACAACCTGGACTGGGTGAAGATAATTGGACTGAACTACATTTCCGTGGAGCTGCTGCGGGCATCAAGGACAGTCGGGGGTTCTAACAGTATGTCCAGGATAATGTGTGGAGCTGTCGGGAGGGAGCTGAACAAAACCCACCAAGAACTGGATAGGAGCCCACTCTTCGTTAAACTCATCTCGCCGGATTTTAGAGCAATTTTTGACGATCTGATGGAATCAGTGACAGAAATGGAGCAAATGAGGAGTCTCTTCCGAATGGAGCAGCAGATAACGCAAAAGATTATGACTACTATGATGTCAAGTAACTTTGGTTCGATTGTGGCCAGTATCAAAGCCACTGTGGAAAAAGACGATCAGGACGAAGAAGAATCTGGACTATTTGAGGACAGGCGGTGGAGGAGATGTACAGGCAGGGAGCTTCTCCTGGCATTTCAACATCATTTACCAACTGTTCCTGTACAATACGATGGTAATCTGATAGACTTCGTGGTTGTTGAGATAATAATAGATTGGATAAAGTTCAACAAGTTTGACCTGCCTGCAGTGCTTTGCGTTAATGTGCTGAAAGCTATACGAAAGCTGGATAAATTGAGTGCAATGTTTGTGGAAGTGGTGGTTGCAGAGACCCATGCTCTGCTTGGTCCAGAAGCCTTCTCTTACATAAACTCATGCTTCAACTCACGCCCAACAACCTACGAGCACGTGACCCAGAAATTTGTCCTGACTAAGGATAACCTGGAGCTACTCCTCCTAGGAGAGCACGTGACCCTAAAGAGTAAGTGTACGCTCGGTATGTGCGGGTACGTGGGAACGCTCAGCGTGGTGACGATAAAGCTGGAGGATAGCAGTGTTACTCCTGTGGTGAGGCTGAGCGACTCTGCTGATAGGTCCCTCTCTCAATCCAACACAGAACACATGCACTACGACTTTGTTCACTGGTGTTTTACTAATTATGAGCAATCGCAGCTGCAGGAGAATGTTCATCTTATGTCTGTTATGACTTCGTCTTATCAGGAGATTAAAAATGGTTTGTCTGCTATGGACGGGTGCGTTGTCTTATTCTTTGCTAAGAATTCCGACAGTGTTACCGTTTGAATATAGGACATGTCTGAAAAGGGACATACTTATTAAACGTTTATAATTTCTTTCGTTAAAATTTTGTTCAAAAATGGTATTTAAGTAATTATTACGTGGTAAAAGCGTTACTGTTTGGTTCGCTGTAGGGTCACTCTGGTGTCTCAATTCTGACGTTCACATGACATAGCCCTTAGCAATTACGAGAAACAATTTAAACTTTAATCTTAACTTTTAACGACTTGTTTGAGATATATTTTGACACACCATAGTCCATAACGGCACTTTTTTTAATCAGGCGAGTTTTAATTTCTGAAAATATCCGGCTGATGTACAATTCGCCCAATTTCTTAGGAGCTTAAGTTTTAAATTTAAGCGTGATAGCACAAAAAAGACAATCATGGTCATCTGAGTAAGTAACACGCAGTAATTAAATATGCATTAACTTTTTTATTGCAAGCATTCACCATAACATAAGAGGCGCGCCGCGCATGCATGAAGTTATAAAAGCAACGCGACGGGCTAAAATAGATGTGACAAATTTGTCATGAGGCTTCACCATTTCCAAAGAAATACATCAACGTTGTATTCAACAAATGTGATTACTTTACCTTTACCCAACAAGTATCAGGCTGTTATCAATAAAGAAACTTCTCTTTAAGTGATGATATGTCACCAGCAGCAGAGAGTTTGGAGTTGAGACACGCTCCTCTTTCAAGACGGTGGATTGGTTAATTACCTGTGGATAGAATGTGCGCCGGACAACCACGCGGTAGTCAAACTTCCTGCTAGGGGTCTACTTCTTCACACTTGGCTTTGTTGGTTTGCTGTTTGAGGTGCGGTGCCTGGTCGCTTGCAACAACGTAGACCCGGCCCTCTTTGATTTAAGGTAATTGGGAGTTTACACAAGTATTTCATCTTGATTTTTCTTTAGTGGCTGCCATTACCTACTTTATACCATATATATAACCAATGTATTCACCTTGCCCTAATGTATTTTGACATGTATATACCACCCCGTAGGGGGTCTAGGGCCCTACAATCTATTAAGCTGATCGAATCATACACATCCTACTGTATACACTCTAATCAGGTTGCTAGGCAGTTGGAGGAGCTTATGCAGCTCCCCAGACACCCGACTACATGATCTCACTTACACTTTCAGTTCCGCTCAGTTTGTTTATGTTGTGAGTTGTATTGTGCGACCTAGTGGCTAGTACTTCCCCTCTCAGAGTAAGAATTAAGTGTTTTGTTGTGTTACCTGCACATTATTGATGTGTGCAGTGTTGCCCATGATACACTGTGTTCTGTTACACCCTACACAAAGAACCGGCACCCTCTGCGAGTGCACTTGTATACACAAGCCTTAGTAGACACCAGATCCGCACTTCTAGCTAATTCACTAATTGTTTTGCGTGCGATAGATTGATTTTTGTGTGTGTTTTGTTTTTTGCAAATCTAAATTCTCACGATGACCCAGCCCGACTGCATCAGTGATATTATCAGTGATATTATCTGCAGTACAACATATATGACATGTAATCCTTGCATTCCATCGGTACACAGTGCACTACTTACTTTCTTCTGCAATCATATGTAATTACACCGCTGGCTATAGTATAGTGCACTGTAATCATTGTAACTTTCCATCCGTTACTGTCACTGTAGTACATTTAATCGCTGTATTGAGCTAGAACTCTCACTGTTGCCATCTCTTTCTAGCATCTCTTTCTAGCATCTCTTTCTTGACGGCGTTATTCGACATTCCTTCTCTGGTGAACTTCATTTCATTTACCTACCTTAATTACTCCCACGCATTCCTGTGAATTTTAATTCATTCAATCATCAACCAAAGACCAGTTTTCATGATGTTTTCCCAATATCGACGAACCCTTATAAATTGGTATACAATATGTGTACATGTTTAATATAAGGCGTTGATTAGCTTATGCCTTATCGCATATGTAAAAACCGCATAAAGACGTTTAAAACGTAGCCTCTGCCTTCGTCCGCACCAGGTATTAAGTTTCAAATTATGTTAAACATGAGTCCAGTTATATACACTGCTTACTCAACATGCCTGTTACCGGCTAGTGTACCCGCTAATGAGAAATTAGATTTGCTCTGTTTATATATCCTGATTTTACCTAATCTTCGTCCTTAGCTCTGCTAAAATATTTGTTAGACCAGTCCCTTCTCGTCTCATCTTTTAAAGTTGATCCTTCCATAATGATATAATTTGATACATTTTTACCGTATACCAGCCCTGCTAAAACATTTGTTCAGCCAGTTCCTTCTAGTCCCTTCTTTTAAAATTGATCCTTCCATAATGATATAATTTGATTCGTAATTGTGGGTGGCTCTGTGACGAGATTTTCCAGAAACCCAAGAAACCCAACGGTTTGTAGATATTGAAACCACTTTACTTGAAGTTTCCCTGCTTTGTAAAGTGTGTGGCATATGACTTCTGTAGGGCATATTTAACTTAATATATAATATATATTATATAGGATAGAAAACACTCTCCTCTTTGTATTATTGGTCATTGTAACAGTCTCACTTGTTAACCAAACGCAGAAATGTAATTATTTTCTTGGAATTAATACATAATGAGGTAAAAATGGCCCATTCGCATCTTAATTTTTGATTTCAGAGAAATGGTTATGGTGTTAACATTATATTCCGACTAATTTTATATAACGTTTTGATGAGACCATGCTTTTATTGCGCCCGTGAACTCAAGGAAGCCATATACATGTATAGCTTTAAATATATAAGCATTTATTACAATTTTTTAAATTTTGTGATTAGATTTCATGAAAATCAGTACAGGTCAATATTAGTTCTAGACTGATCCTTTGAATTGTATAGGTTTCCATCTGTGTCTACACACACATTTTTGTGCTTTATCTTTCTATAATCTCCTATTACACGATACAATGAAAATAAAACGTGTACATGATGTCACCTCATATAAAGCTTAATAAGCATGATAAAGTTTCAAAGTTGTACTGAAAGCCACGGTGATGGGTGTATAAAGTTCTACGTATCGTGACCAGCTCTTTTAATTCGCATTTTGTGCAACTGTCACACCCTTGCAGCTCTCTCGCTACTGCACAGATTTCTCTTGCTATTTAATTTTTGTACCGACAACATTATGCTTTTTTGTGTAGCATTGTAGCACTCGATCGAACTTTAAATTTGTCGCTGCAAGATAACGTGAGTACATGATAATATACTATATAGTGTATTTCAGATAGTCTGCAGTATTTGTATTGTATCGTGGTCTCTAATTCTTCATTAAACACATCGTTATTTTAACATGTGGGAAGCTTTGCAGCAGTTTTCTTAAATCTCTACAGAGAGCAACATTGCCTCATATACTGACCGCTAAAAAGGTCAAGATACTCTCGTTTGTCGCGGCCTTGTCAGCAACTCGATCTAAATTCCACCTTTCGTCTAGTACAAACTTACCTTACCAACCCTGAAGTTTCATTCTAAGTAAACACGGTTATAGGCCAGAAACTGCTGCCACAATCACCACAATTATATATAATGACAACCAAGTCCAACCTCACCGAAACAATGTATTAATCGTCCATAACTGGCATATTTCCAAATTACATTTCAACACCCCCCGCTACTAAACATGTAATGAATATTGGATTCCAGATTCATAACATCAGCTCTGTACTCCGGCTTCTGTCTTGAAGGGCCCATGTTCCAGCCATAAGTTTACCTGTTTTCCAGGTCCCTGCTTCCTGCGCTAACACCACAAATACGCCCCATCACTCGGCCCTCCTTCTCCCCTTCTCTCAAACTGAAAACAGTTTTTTAACCGACCTACCCCAGCTGATCAGGTGACTGTTACCTAGTCACGTGTCCTCGTGACGTCACACCACACATCCTGCTGACAGATGCTGGCCATATTATAAAGCAGAGTTGAGTTTTCCTGCCTAGGCTGCTTTATGTTAATCCATATGCCACAGCGCACACTTCATCTTGTTACTATAGGAGCTGGGCTGTGTTTGGTTTAGAGTAATCGCAGAGATGCGTTTTTCTAGAATTCTTAAAGCTTAGTGTAATTTTGTGGTGATAACTATCCCTGTATTTGTTGAGCTCCAAGGAGTGTTGTGTTATGTAAATTTAGAGAACGTTATTCAATCTAATTGAAACTTATTAACATGCCATCTCTTACAAGAGTTAGTCAGCACCAGTAATTTAAACAGTGACTGATTCGACCAACTATCGGAGTATGTAAAACTTGTGTATTCAAATACGAGATAATCGCTCCACGTTATAGTTCTTGTCTGATTCTATCATGCCGACTGTAGAATGTAGATAGGAATGATTGGATTAGAATAGTATCAGATCCTTTCATTGCGTTCACAGCATGTTTCATCACAATATTATTATTCAGCTCGATAGTCGACATCTTCGCCTGATGACCCCCGTAACAAGCCACACCATCACCTACCCAATATAAAACCAGGCAGAGCACCGCACCATGTTTCTCTATTCGCTAAACTCAAGTACTGCAGTCACCTGATGTATTGTAAATCTACCGAAAGGTGCGTATTGTTCTCCGTTTGCACGTCACGTATCGGGAATTAAAGGCGTCGACTGTGACATGCGGAATGTTTGGAAGGTTTGCAATGTGAATCTTAGCTGGCTGCACCCCTTCACTGTGACCGCATTTAGTGCTTTTTCTTTGTTGCGAAAGCCGGCCACGATGGATTTAATGTTTTTATGATGGATTATCATTCGATGACACCCGCTTGCGAAGTTATTTTCTTCCACAAAGTGCTATCTGTGAACACCAAAAACAGCTTCTTCAACGAAGTAAAATGAATTCTCTTAGCTGAGTTATTCACGGAATTTATTATTCACCATTATAAGATGACACGTTATTTTTTCCGCTCTGTTTGTTTTCCTCTATCTTTTTCCATCTAAATTTTTCTCTATCCTTTTCTCTTTATTTAGTTATATCTTATACGATATCTTTGCCGCATAAGAGCGGGGTAGTGAATACTGTGGTTTGTTTAATCGTTTCGTTTATACGTATACTCTATATCATACTTTGATTTATTTCCATACTGAAATCAACAGGATTGCTTCATAGAATCGCACCGTTTAAGATTAGCATAAATTATGACGGAACCGCTACATTAGAAACCACCGCTCTGTAACGTCAAGTTTCTTCATTATTATAAGCGTCCCCTGTTTTAGTCCATTACTTCATTGTAACACCACGCTACAACAAAACTTTTGTGTTTGCGTGGTAGAGAGCACAATAATAGTGCTCCTTTATAATAATAGTGCTCCTTTATAATAATAGCGCTCCTTTATTTACTTTTGTCGACACTTCACTATTTTTGTCGTGTTTACGTTGCTGTACTGAGCTGCTATACAGACTACACCATGTTCCTTGGGTATTATATAATAGAACTGCCAATACTTGAAGATAATTCCATGATTTGATTCGCAGATGTGGCTACTATATAATAATGGTGATAATCTGTTTCACAGATCTACCATCATCATTGGCACTCTGCAATATATCTGGGGCGCTAATTTGTTTGATTCAGATAATTGTCAGAGTGTCCTGCTACATTAACGTAGAGCTGTTTCGTGCCAGAGTAAAAGATGCCCGAATATCTAGCAGTGTGATGATAAGATGGTATTTGTCTGAGCTTGCTGTATCCAGTACTACAGCTACAACTAGTACTGCTATATATTGTTATTTGTTAATTGTTGTCGGTCCAGAAACAAGCTGTAGACTGTAGAGAACCCCTCTCGTATATATAATATAATAACTCCCATATATTCAGCTGCAGTGACCCGGTTGATTATCAGTATTGAGTTTCATTTTGATCAGTCAGGTCTCCTGGACCACCACCACCATCACCACACTGTGTCACCCACTCTCTCTCTCTCTCTCTCTCTCTCTCTCTCTCTCTCTCTCTGCCTCTCTGGATTACATCTCGTCATGTAAAACCCATAAGTTGTCACCTCTGTGTATACTTGTTGTGCAATGTGGTAACTTGTCATTGTTATATACAACTTGTCTTGTTGAGATTTACTTTTCGTCTGAAACGTCAATAGGTCACTCGAGCGCTAATTTCATCTTGTCATGAAATTATACAGACCTTAAGTCATCCTGTTGGATATCCAACTGACTTGTTCCCGCCATTTAACCACTTCTGAATTAGACTCCAATAATAGGTGTTCCAGCTGGCCTCTGCCATGTATGCTATATATTGCTGTTGCTTTGGCTAGTACTCTTTTGTTATGGATTGTATAATAGTATAATAGTATAATGGTTGCAGGCTCAAAATACAACTCTTTGTTAGATCCGAATAAGGTTTATGTGGTGATGACGTGAAGGTGCCTTTTCAAAAGATATCGGATGTCATCCCTCGATCATATATCGTTTCTTTGCATATATAGAAGTGCCGTTTTCTGATGAGTCTTTGTAAATTATCACATTATTAGCGAGGGTCTACCTTTTACTAACATTATCTAAACAATGATTTAATATTGTTTAGTTTAATACTTCCATTTTATGATCGTGACAGTCGATAGCTAGATTTTTCGATAAATTTTGATTTACAGCTTCTAAGATTTCGTAACATCCTCCGAGAATTTCTACAGTACACTGCATTTTTACTACTCAAGCTCGTTTGACATGTGAACACAAAGACTTTACTATTTATATTAGTACATTGAACCAACGTACCACCTCCTTATTATACCATATGCAGTCTTTCCTGGGAAATATTCAGGGTTAAAAGATGAGCTGCTGTTAAATTAACAACATTTTTGAGAATGATAATTAATTATATCCCTGTAAAAAGTCTTAAGATATTTAAGCGGGCAGTGTAAGATATAGGGGTTAGACTGTTCACTTAAATAAGCTAGGAAGCAACGGCTCATGGGGCTTCAGTTCAACGATTAAGGTAGCAAATTACCAGGTGCGCACGCAAAGACATGGTATAAATTTATTGTAATTAATTTTGTCCATAATTCGCTCAGCTTCTTTCTGTAACATACCTTTCTATTGAAAATATTCTCGCCTAATTATCTTCGTGGGATTGGTATTCAGTATTCACGTTTGTCGTTTTCTTAGAATATCGCGATTTTTTTAATACGGGAATTTTATAATTTACGATAAGAAACCTCTTGATTGTATGGACCTTGATTCTGGCCGAGAATTGATAAATTTTTACAATCGGAAGTTTTTCGTAAATTTATTTTCGCGGCTTTCAAAAATGGGCGTTTAAATGGACGCACAAATTTGATACATTAAATAACTTGATTAAGAATATAATACAGTCTCCTCCTTTTATTTACAACATTCTCTTCTCCTCGCAGTGTCATGACCCATGTTGCTTTCCCATACTGAACTAGTCGATGAACTACCAAAGATAGTGAGTCTAAACGCGTCTGAGAGGAAAAAACTTAACGATAACCGCAGATCCGCCCAACTTGAACGCTGGAAGAAATCCCAAGAAAGTGAAGGTTATTAATTATCTAATTTAGCTTTTTAAACATAATATAATCAAATTTGTGGTGTAAATGCCATTATGAAATTTACTGTAGAGTTGGAATTGGCATTTAAATTATGTCACTTCAAATGTAACTTGTGTAATGAAACTTGTTGGCTGGGAGTTAGAAATGTGATGTACATTGAAAGTGTTGGCATTTGCATCTGCTTCACGGATAACGTGTAAATTGAAAACTGGACTTTTCCCGTGTTTTACCGTTATAAATGTTGTTGACGCTAATACTCGAAATATACCAAGCACGCCCTAGTACCACCGATTGCCAGTAGCGTCTCTACAATCAATACCCGACATGATTTTCCAAAATATCACCAAGAATAATACTGTTCTGACAGTTATTATACTAGGCCCGTTATTTTACCTTGATTCCAATATTTTCCCTACTCTGACCGACAATTTAAACACGATTCCAACCAGATTCTGATGTTAAATTATTAGGGTGTGGTGTAGACACATATCAGATAACAAACAATATCTTGAACTTCCTTTGTTTGCCATACCGCCTACTCAAAAGAAGAATTTGCGACCGCAATCGTGAATTGTCAATCCGCATACTGGTGGGAATTGTGACTGAAGCTGTATATCAAAATTAAAATGGTCACCAGTTTAATATGATATATTTAAATGGCCTGTCAAATGTTGAGAAATCTGCCTCTTCGAGTGACCACAATTTTACTCCTCAAACCTTGGCAAGGAGCTCGATTAGATTCACCAACAATAATACCATTTTTGGTGATCGCTTTTATTTTTGAAACGAGGCAAAGGAACTCGCTTTGTTTACCTCACTGCAACTACAACTATAATGAACTGAGATCACAGGTGAAGGTGTTACCCTGAATTCACTTCTTGGCTCTCCCTGAGAAAAGTTGAGACAGCCATTGCGTGTCAGATCCAACAGTATTTAAGTGACGAAACCTAACTTATGCAATGTTATTATGTTATGGTGTCATAATAATGGAAACAATAGACTCAGTTATTACTTAGCACATGATAAAATAATATAGATTTTTACTTGACAGTAGGGAAGCTACTTGAGGAGTCTCTTCCCAACCAAGACATGTAAATGAAGTGAGATTAGACCGCCCAAATTCGTCTCGATGATAGAGGTTGAGGATATTTCCATCCCTTTATGAGCTCAATACAGTACATGATAGAGTCTTGTTCATTTCTTCCTCTGTATAGGGTCATATTATCTACAGTGTTACACCTCGTGCTGAATAAGAAATCCCAGATATGTAGTAAATAAGGGAATGGTATGTATTAAACAGCGGATGTTTGCAACGTGGTCGCTTTACAATAAGCATATATATTGTTAAGAAATAAGAATATATCTCTGGATATAAATCTGTCCTTTTAGTTTTACGTCAGCGTTAATTTATTCTAAATTGCGTTGTTTCAATTTTACGCACCTATGTTTTAGTACGACTGTCTGTCATGGTTGTAGTGTGTGTGAATACAGTCTACGTTGATTCAAAGTCGTTAACTTCAGCCAGTTTCGATTTTCCTCAGACACGTCTGAAAAACGTCTGCAATAAGTATCAAAACAGAATTTTCACGGTTTCATCTCTAAAAGTAAATAAATTACAGAAAATGAGGACCTCATCGAGACACAACAACACCCGAAAAAGCGGAAGAAGGAATCCCGACCGTTCTTTGACCCGGGTCTTGTGCTACTGAACTGTGCAGCTCTTGGGGATCAAGAGGGAGTTAGGAAGCTGCTAAGTGAGGGGGTTAATCCTACTGTTTACAATGTGGATAGAATAACACCTCTCCATCAGGTACCAAGTGCAGATCTTATTATAATTTAATATCCTGTTCTATTTGTCGTGAATTTTAGAAGGATTCAGATTCCAGAATATTCGCAATACATGTTGTGATATTGATTATGAATTTCAAAGGATTCTCTTTCCAGAGTATTCGCAATATATCCTATGATATTAATTGCGAATTTTAGAGGATTCAGATTCCAGAGTATTCGCACCTAATTTGGCCCACACTGTATCATATTACATGTTACCTACTACTAGTTTTGAACTATAATTCTGGACTTATACGGTATACCGTGCAGTGGTTACTCTTTATTGAACCTTACATCTCCCATCAGAGTTGTTTAGAAAACGACGAGGAGATAACGGAGTTGCTAATTGAAGCAGGATGTGATATTGACAGTTTAGATAATGAGCTGTGGACTCCGCTCCACGCTGCTGTATCCCTCGCTAACTACGAATGTGTCGACCTCCTTCTTAAACACAACGCCAAGTTAGCCAACATTTTAAATGTCTGCCGGAGTAAAAGCTTTAAATAGCTGAATGTACAAATATGCATGTCTTTTAAATTAATATCCGATGAAGTGTTATCAAGCTTGTTAGTATTTACAATATAACCACACAGGTTCCTACACTGGTGACAACACTCACCTTAGTCACCTGATTACAACACTCACCTGGTTGCAACACTCACCTTAGTCACCTGATTACAACACTCACCTGGTTGTAACACTCACCTTAGTCACCTGGTTGCAACACTCACCTGGTTGCAACACTCACCTGGTTGCAACACTCACCTGGTTGCAACACTCACCTGGTTACAATACTTACCTGTTAGTGTTTACAACACTCACCTATCCTCACCACCTACTCACCTGCTGCCCAATTAATTTTCTTCTCAGTCGCCTCACAGACTCACAGTCCACTCCAGATAATTGACATAAATCTTACCAGTCAGCTAAGTCCGAATGTTGACGGACAGTTACCTCTGGACCTGTGCGAAGACAAACTTATCCTAGAGCTGATAGATCGAGATCTAATAGAGAAGGGTAAGATTCATTGCTGTTTCCTAAGATGTTGTTAGGAGTGGCAAAAGTTGTGAGGCTTCCTAACAATGATTACATCTTTTACAGATAACGGCAGTAATATTCAGATATTATAGTAGTTCAAATTTATTTCGCTTAAATTATGCATCTTACTATATATATAAAGCGAGACTTTATACCTTCAACACTACTATATAACAAATAATTTGAGAATTGATGTAAATAAATGATGCAAAGAATTGCGAGGATCTAGTCACAACCGCTTTTTTATTGTGTAGAAGTTCAGCAATGAAATATATTATATATATATATATATATCGTCTCGCTTTATATATAGTAAGATGCATATATATATATATTATACGGCACCAACTTTAACACGACTTTTTTGACTGGTTCAAATGTTTAATGGCCTTTAAATCAGCACGAAAAAATAAACAAAATTTAGTGCCCAAAATTTGGACCCCCAAGAGGTGTCAAAAACGCGGATTAAATAGGTAATAATTATTATATATTAGTCTCTTGATTTTTGACACCACTTTAGGGTTAGACGGGTTCCTGCTAGTTACATTAGTTAATAAACAGGCCAAATTTAAGTTTGACCATCTTTCTCCCTAGGGATTACAGAAAAAGACTTGGCTGAAGCCCGGACAAGTCAAGAAACAAAGTTTTTCAACGAAGTCAGACAATTGTTGGAGCACGGTGGTAATCCAAACTTTCAGCTTCTTGATAACGATGCAACTCTGGTCAGTATGAAACCATCGACTAGTAGTAGTATACAACAAATCATAATCTACCAAAATCTTTAGATCTCCATATTTCACATTTTCCTACCTTTCTCGTTAGTTCCACACTTTTTCCCAACCCGATCTCTACTTCCAAACACAAGTTAATGACGTGTCCTCCGTCAGCTACACGTGGCAGCAGCTAATGGCTATGTCGAAGGTCGCCCTCTACATCCTCTCCAAGTCTGGCAAGGTAGATATACAAGATATCGACGGTTGGACACCCCTCCATGCAGCAGCTTTCTGGGATGAAGTTGACATTATAGAACTACTCGGAGCACACGGTGCTGACTTCAAAATTAGGACTTTTAGCGGAGAGCGTCCGGCCGGTGCGTTTTTATTGAATTTTTACTGGAAATCTAGAATTTAACAAGTACGTTATCGTCTGTCGCACACAGGGACAAAAGGAAATCGCGGCATGTACGGAATCGCGATTTTTCCCATTAAGGTATTTTAAAATATAAACTGAAGTCCTTGTACTGCAGTATACAGTGTCATGATTATATTATTATTCGGTCATTCAGTAACGAATTGTAACGAGGTCCGCTGAATATTAGCAAAACTTTTTATAAGAGCGATTGAATAGACAAAAATAGCGACAGTAATATCTTTATCAATCGAATGAGACCTGCACTGGCGTCCAGAAATAGATTTATCAACTGTGTCATCTGTAAATGAACCATATAATAAAGCAAATCCAAACTTAAAATTTGTTTGAATTTCGTTCCTTCACATCAACACCTAGTCCCTTCTTCTCAACAGATCTCACGGAAGATGAGGACATCAAGAATTTGTTACAGCGGTTATCGGAGAGGAGTGAGCTGATGAAGAAACATCCTGGAGGTGCTCTTAGACCTTCCAGTGTCAGAGGGTAAGAAACAGCACATTTTTGTGATTTTTGTGAATATTCTGATCATAACTTTGAGTTGCAGACAACATAATATCGGGGGTTTCTAATCGCTTCTTCGTGGTACTATGTTGGGTTGTTAATCTATTCGCTGTCGATTGCTTTGATTATAACCGACCAATCGGCAATCAAGAATAGTAACTGCTAAGTTGCGATGATTACATTTGGTTGATAAAAAGAGAAATAAATTACACGATTTAATCCTAGAAAGGGGCTATTAAGAAGTTCCAGTTCTGGGTACGTTACTAGCAGCCCATTGTTTGCACGAATGATCTCTCTGGGAATTGCCGTTAAATTTGCGTGCATTTTTCTTGTTCGCTTAAATATGAAATTTCTAGTGCATGTTTCTTTATTCTTTGATCCTTTTCAAACGGGACGTGGGTTATTCTTAGCTTACATTTTTTATGCACGTTCATTTACTAAATGAGTGTTGCACGAACTCCTTAAATCGCTCATTGTTTTACCATCTAGTTCTAAAGAAAGTAGAGACATATTAAAGCTTCAGTTTAATCTCACATATCATATCCCCGTCGTGTTTCATTTTAATAGGCCAAGCCGGCGCCATTTTCCATTTCTACTGAATGTGCATTATGCAATCAGTTTTTCGTGGCAAGTACAAGAAATGTATTGGACATTTTACTGAGGACGTCATTTTCTCCTAATAATAGGTTGCTATCAAATGAAAGCTCTCCGCACTAAGCTGAAAAGAAACTTGTCAAAACCTCCCAATTATTTCCTACTGAGAGTAAGAAGACATTAAAATGCAAATTCTGAAAATAAATTAATCAAAATCAGTGACAGTAGATCGCATGAGTGAGTTCAGTTACGGTAGAATGACAGGATCTGACATATTGAACAGAAATTGCTAGGTAAAAATGCCCACCAATGGTAAGCAAGCCCCGCCAAATAATGTTGTCAATCAATCACAAAGAAGATTCAGTATCTAGACAGAGTGTAGCGTTCATTATGCCGAAATTACGAGTGATTAGTATTTTAGGAACTGCGACAAAATCGATTTTTGATCACAGCACATTATGAGATTTAATACGATTTTATCGTTTTTACACTGTATACCTGAGTAGTCAGTACCATATTAGACCAATAAGTAATCTACCATTTATTACAACTATACGATTAATATGGGAGTTTACTGACGTGCGCCGCGCGGATGATGTGGTTTGCGGAGGATGATGTGGTTTGCGGAGGAAGATGTGGTTAATGTCGGTTACCATTCCACATTATCAAGATACAGCATCCTCTGACTTGCTCAGTTCTCGCTCTCTCTCTCTAGCTCTTTAGCTCTCTCGCTTTTTCTCCCTTAACTGCAAAATAGTCTCTGGTTTTGAAACAGTTTTGACTATATTAGGGTACTCTCTCACTAACCTGGCCTCGGAGCATTAGACACTCGTCATTCCGACTACCCTCTTATTAACATTCTTTGTATTTGAACATTCTGACTATTTATCCTGTCACTAAACTTACCATACGATGCGTCAGTGCAGCTCTGATCATACATTTCGTTGTGCTCATGAATTAATTCGTCAACAAATTGATTTTGTCACTGTTCGTTCATTGCACGTCCCGACTTGAGCCATTTTATAGCAATTTCTAGAAGCTTGGGAACTTCATTCCTTTCTCGGAAATATGGAGATCTGACAATTTTGGTGGATTATGATTTGTTTTACAGACGATGGTTTAATATTGACCAGATTTGCGTCGTTATCAACTTATCAAGAAGGTGAAAGTTTGGATTAACACCGTGCTCCAAAAATTGTCTGACTTCGTTGAAAAACTTTGTTTCTTGATTTGTCCGGGGTTCAGCCAAGTCTTTTTCTGTGATCCCTAGAGAGAAATATGGTCAAACTTAAAACTGACCTGTTTACTAACTTATGCTATGTACATATAATTCAAGCGGAAGAAACTTGAACTACTATAATATCTGAATAGTCAAGAGTTTAAATTCCCAAATAGTCAGACTGAGCAGGTTGAGCTGTAGTAAAACACAGTACTGAGGTGTTAAAACATTTTCATTACTATCTTCAGTAACATCCTGAATCAGAAACTCGGTTAATATCAGTTCCTACAAAGTGTAACATTGGAAATGAAATGACACAACTAAAAACGATATGAATATTTTTTTTAAAAAAACATAACTCTTGTGCCCCAATGCAATAGAAAACATTTAAGATAAATCCAATAATGGAATCCCAAACGGGTCCACGGCATTGAGCCCCAATGGACGTATAGTTCTTAGTTTCTGAATATAACGGTGTTCATCCACTTCTAGAGTTCTTGGGCTACTATTACTGAGAATTGACACTTTATAAGCCGGGTTGAAATTGTCACGTTGTTTCATGTTATGAACTTCTACAAGGTGTTTACCCAAGCTGAATCCGTCGTCGTTTTCTTCAGGGACAAACGTATTGTCCGAAATGAGTTTGTAGTAATGGGCGCGATGTTCGTTTACTCGTGCCCTGAGGGGCTGCACCGTTCTTCCTACATAATGAATAGTACTGTTATCTGTAAAAGATATAACCATTGTTAGGAACTAGGAAGCCTCACAACTTTTGCCACTCCTAACAACATCTTAGGAAACAGCAATGAAGCTTACCCGTCTTGATTAGATCTCGATCTATCAGCTGTAGAATAAGTTTGTCTTCGCACAGGTCCAGAGGTAACTGTCCGTCAACATTCGGACTTAGCTGACTGGTAAGATCCTGGATTAGACTAGAAACTTCTGCGATTCCTCATTACTAGAGATATGTCAACATCAACATTCAACAACCGCCTAGCAATCGCTTATATAAAGTAAAATCACAGTTAGCCAATTATTTAATCAACTAATCATTTGAAAATGATTTTGTGAGAGAAAAATTGTTTAGTTAAAACAGGAACCTTCTGTTTTAACTAACAGTTTTTACTTTTACAGCAGGAGATATACAAAAATAAGCCTAGCAATCGATAAGCAAAAGGTAGTTGGCATTCATTTTAAAAATTTGGTCTTCATGACTACCAAATTTTTCTCACTTTTCAATATGAATACAATTCACTCTGCAATATTATAATACTATGTAATTACTAAATCTGCTGGAATCTGGAACCAGCTCTGGAGGAGGCGATCGTAAACCGTTAAAGATCAAAATCTCAACAATTTAACTGGATGAATCAAATTGTTGAACTTACAGTCACTCAGCAATAAGACTAAGACGCGCCCGTAAAGAGGAATGTTATGAGCTTGCAAGTGTTTTAGAAATTTGTCAGATTGTGTAGGTTGTAGCAAACATGCAGGATGTTAACCAATCCCTGCAGAGTTCACCAGAGGGATTCAATTAGACATTATCTGTAACGGTGGACGTATCATTTTAAAAAGCTAAAGTAGGTGCTCCAAAATCAACTAAACATGCCGAGTTAAAGTAATGATTCAAGGGATAATATCCGGTAGTAGAGACTAGGTAGCGTAGGACAAGTGAAACTACTGTTTAGGAGGAAAGTGAAACGCAAGCTTTCAGTGTGCTACACTTTCATCAGGCTTTAATTATTTGTTATATAGTAGTGTTGAAAGTATTGTTACTATATAACCAATAATTTGAGCCTGATGAAAGTGTAGCACACTGAAAGCTTGCGTTTCCTCCTAAACAGTAGTTTCACTTGTCCTACGCTACCTAGTCTCTACTACCGGATATTATCCCTTGAATCATTATCTTATCATGAGACTGATAAACAGCGAACCTCTCCAGGATCTCATGCCGAGTTAAAGTTTATTAAAGATCGCTTTCTTTCATTTTAGCACAAAATCCTGATGCACGGAACTTCCAATAACCAAAATGCTAAATTGAGTTTAAATAACTGTTTCATTTGCTCCACGTTGTAGGAACTCACTTGTGAGAATACAACTAATTTGAACACGTTTTCCAGAGGAAAACTATCCGTCTGAAGAAATAATCAACTTATGAGACTTCTTTTTATTTCGTTTGTAGTGTATACTATAATTATACACTTATAGTATACACTGCACTATACACTGTATACTGCTGTTATCTCCGAGGTAGAGCTTTGTGTCCAAGTGGTCAATCTGTTTGCCGAATTGGCAGTCTTTAAATTGGATTCCACGCAGTTTTCGAGTTGGTTCACAAATGTATAGAATTGTATGAACTGCAATGTATATCGTCCATGAAACGATTAGTTTCAGAAGGCTTTCCGTTAGTGGTTTATTGTAGTGACCTGTACCAATTAAAGGATATAACCATTATGGAGTACGTCTAGCTATATTGTCTTTAGTTATACTCCTTCAGTGTATATTCCTCTAAACCCTCGAACCACTCTATATAACCTAGCAATTAATAGGCCACTACGTCGACTCACTTCGAGACCCAACTTGTGCTTTCCGTACGGGAGGGGCGGCGGTTAAGGGGAGATACGGGGTGTATCTCCCCGGTGGTGTAAGCGTCATGGGTATTGCAGCAGTGTGAGTATTCGAATTCGTCGATTTTTTAACAGTATCTAAAGACAAACTGATGAATTTTAAATCGTACGTGAATACTTAAAAGCAAAGAGTAATATCTACAATGGACCAAAGATTTTGAATCTAGCCATCTTCGTCGATATTTCCATATTTTTGTTTGACAATTACCCGTTAATAGGTTGAAACGATGCTGTTCCGTTTAAATGTTCACATCCCGTGTAGATCTGCACATTTTCCTGGCAACCATTGGTCCATCTCCTGAAGCAATGTTGTACTAAAGTTCTAGATTGAAATATGTTTGGATAGACAGTTGAGTTTTAGACTTAGCCGTGAATTTAAACGTATCTCACCATCAGCTGTAGTAGTGTGACTGGTTTTTATACACAGCTGTATTTTAACAGTTCCTCAAAAAAACCTCCAAGTATAACCGCACCCTCACGAGTATTTACTATTTACCCACCTCCCTCCCACTGAACCGCCGCCAAATAGCATTACATTTTTAATCTAGTTATTAAGCTACTTATGGGTAATGGGTTACATCTTGGCGATGACTACTGCCAAGCTTTGATGAAATGGATCATTTAACGAAATTTTGCTACCAATATTTAAATATAGCTTAATTACAAAATATTCATTTTATTTCATATGATGGCTTTTACTTTGCTTATACCTCCCCTTGTGTAGCTGAACTCGTCACGCTGCTGCCGCGCCTTTTTCCCTTTTTCTACTGTAGATTTGGTGATCTTTCAGTTTCAGTTAGCCTTAATTACTAGAAAATTGGCACCATTACCCTTTAAATGTTTGTAGCCACATCACGAGCACCGCGACCGATATCAAGATTACTTATTTCGGACCATATAACTTAAAGATTTCTATTGGGTATCGGTTTCGACGTGAATATGACTCAATAAATTTCTCTCAATTCTCAGTGCTTCAATGTAATCAATCATTCATTTTAAATTTATTGATCGAATTCTTATCAGTGAACAGGGACAGAATTGCATAAGTTACCGAACATTTTCTGCATTCTAATTTTCTTCACTTGTATGCGTAATAACTAGATGGTCCAGCTCTGATTCAATGTATTTAACTGTGTATTTAATTGTGTAATGAATTGTGTGATTAATTGTGTAATTAAAACCCAGGCGGCTAGTGAGTCGCATGACCACTGGCGAGAGAGAGGACAAAAGACGTGAGAGTGCTGAACTACACAACGTGTTTGTGGAACAGGTTAGTGAAACGCAGGATCCCATGAAAGCTTCTAGACTCAGTCGAGTTTGAGATTCATGGGCATTTACTTCACGACTCACGAGTGACGATTCTAATTATATTTAATCTTGATAAGTTAAATGTGAATGATGACTCAGCAACTCGTCAATTTCAAATGTGGAGTATATTAAGCTTAAAAAGTTAATACATTTTATGCAACTAGTGTCTATATACCTTGTTCCTGATCATGACAGTTGACACATTCTTTTGCAGATTGAACAGGACGCGTCTAAGCGACCCGACTCGTGGAGGGTCCGGACAGGAAAGTACGTTAGACCCGCTCTCAGAGATCTGACATTCGACGCTCCCGCCTCCCCTGTCATTCAGGAGAAGTTAACAGACCATAACATTCCCGAGAACGAACCAAGCTGTAAAGGAATGGCAGACGTCCAAAGTTAGTATTTTACATAGATAATTAGAACTTTCGTTGGATTTTCAAGGGTTATTATACATATAATAAAGAATTTAAAGGTATACGTTTCCTTGACTGAGTTGTTTCATTTTTATTTTAAATCCTCAAACTTAATTTAACGTTAACTATAATATCTAACAGCGTCACAGCGGCCCAGCTTGGAACGAAGTGCTTCCATCTCAGAAAATAGTGAGGATTACCAGAATGGTCAGACTGAAGCCTTGTCATCCATCTGCGAGAATGGGGAGGCAAAAGACACCTCTTCAGAGTCCGAGTTAAAAGAGGCGTTGCTACCAAAACACGAGGATATTTCATTAAATGATATACATGTGACGTCATCAGATGATAAAGAAAACTCTGATATCAATCAGGTGTGGACTGGATAAAGTTACAATTTACTAATTCTTTTGAATAAATGTTGATTTAATCTCTTTTTGTCCACCTTTTATACATTGATGGTATATTGTAAAGTTAACAAACATACATGCAATTTTTAAAAGAAAATAAATGTAATGTAAACATGACCCTCAGGTGAGTGACAGTAGCATAACTGAACCACATCAGGCCCGCAGACAGGTATCCTTGGACGACCAAACATTTGAGCTGATTTCACCAAGCACTGACACCTTAGCTTCAGAAGGAGTTTGGAGCAACACTCCCCACCATGCCAACAGAAACAAGGTAAATTTAATCACATTTTTGGAAATTTTTGTCACTTTGTTCTTCTACATATCATGTTGTACAACAACAAAATAACTGGTCGTAGAGATGATTTCTTTGAGGAAATGAGTCGTAAAGAGAAAAATGTATGACAAATTCTTTAAATTAGTCAGGGGTGCATTCTATGATTACTTTCAGTTAATACAGAAAGCACTAACATGGGTCTAGAATCTAGATTGTGCCAGGATACTTCATTAAGTATGCTCCCAGTGATTTAGGTATTTAACCTTGGAATGTCGATATGTTGTTTAGATATATTATCTACTAAATTTCAAGTATTTTTAATGCGGTTCCGTTATCGTATTCTGCATTCAGCGTTGGTAGAGGCACTCCTACTTGTGATGGGCAAATTTCTGTTATCTTCAAACCGCTTCTAAGAATGAACCGCTATAATTCAGAGAAATTATTTACGGTATTCAATAATCTGTTACGTGACAAGAAATGAATTGACGTATTCCCTGTTTCTACACCCTTCAGAAGAAAACTTAAATTAAATACATTTTTTCTTCAATTACGTGTCCGATGTGGAACTGCAGTGTTACCTTGTATATAATTGTAGGTTACAACGTCGTTGAATCCATCGATTGAAAAATTGTGGTTTTTAACATGGATTTTAAGGCCCCTGAATGACCTACCTGGAGGCACCATCAGAGGCACCTGTTGCTTCTCATAGTTTTGAATGCCTTCGAGCGTTCATTTTAGTGTCCGTTCAAAATTATGTCCGTTCACGCAATGTCCGCGTCCGGTCAATTAACGTCCGATAATCAAGGTATTTATATTCACTCCTTAGTCCTTATTGATGATTAATCCGACTCCACTTTGAATGGTTAAATTTCGGACAATTTCTTTGATATCTGGCTAAAATTTCAGGTCTTAGCAACAACAAAAAAAACTTTTCATTATTAAACGTCATTTTAGAAATTTTTCTTTCAAATAAATATTAAACATTTTAAACAATTTTCATACAAGAAAAGACTCCAAATACTTTCTTTTATACATGATAGTTGTTGGAAGCGTTCAAATTACATTTTAAAAATTATACGAATAGCATTGTTCTCTGAATGATAATAAAATAAAATTTGCATTGTTAAAAATGCAATTCTCTCCCCTTCTTTTCATCTCCTTTCCTGCTGTTAAAGGCTCCATCAAACATTGAGGCGACTTGGTTAGCCACTCTTCTAAAGGTAGAGTCACCAATAGGGTCACTTGCATCACTTGGCTCCTCACTTGGGAACGCGGAGAACCAATCTGAAAAGTAATCAGAAACGTAACCTCCACTTCCAGAAACGTAGCCCCCAGAAACGTAGCTGCCCGAAACGTAGTCACCAGAAACCCAACTCCCGGTGGGATAACCATCACTTGGCGTACTCTCGGAGGCCGGTTCTGCTAGTGGCATACTCTTCTTCCTAAGTCGAGCTTCCCTCTTTTCCCGGACAATGTTCCTTCCTTGACACACCACCAAGGCACACAGTGACAACAGCAATATTCTCAACATTCTGGTACAGCGGATGATAAGCAACTAAAGCACACGAAAAGTTGTTTGGTTAAACTGGACTAACTTACTCTGGGAAGCTCTCTAATATAAACTTTGATATCCCACCCTTTTTCTATGAGGCTCGCCTTAGCCTTCTACTCGCACCTGCGCTTGGAATAAGAGTTTTCTTTAAATAGTTGTTGCAGTGACGTACATTTCCTATCCGAAGGTGCCCTCAATACCTCAAGACTTGTTGAATAAAGTACACGGTATCCGATGAGGCTGGAAGCTGCACCGCCAATCTCCATACTCCAATAGCAGCTCCTGAAATATAGAGCTAAAACATTGTTAAGCGTGAGAAGTGAAGTTTTCATGACCAAAGTTAAGTTGCTGGACAACTATACTACAACTACTCTTTCACTAACTACTATCCGCTACATCTGTCACGACATTTAGCTTCTGAAAAACGTGCCCGAATACTCTAGTTGTAGAATGCCACTCGGTTACTCGGTAGTAGGTCACATTCAAGTCACTTAAAGTCTCAGCGGTTCGGTGTGTCGCATAGCATTCTATTCATGTTATCAAATTAGTTTTTTTATTAAATAAATTAAAAATTAAATGTGACACATAGAAACTTCGAGACTTCCTATCAAGCTTCTACCTCACAGAACATGCCATAATTTGAACTATCATTATATTTATTGCTCAATTTGAAGTAATAAGTCTTTACTCATGATCCAAATTATAATTATCTAGAAACTTCGTTATTAGTTCAGGAATTTTACATGATAGGTCACATACAGTAGAAAAAAAACGTTGACAATATAGGACAGCAAGCTGCAAGATACTATGTCATCATAGTGGTTGAGTGCCAATGGATCTACCAAAATAGGTTTCTACATACAGTCGACCCCTATCTCAATATTTGTTCTTTCTATCCATCAGTCTCATACTTGGTTTGGAAAGGATTCAAATAGCTAAAAAGGATACAATAATATCAACCCAGGTTGAAGTCATTATAAAATTGATCTTAATATTTTGATCTACTCTCTTCCCGTTCTATATCTGTTAATATAACCGTACACCTGATCCAAAACATATTAAATTTAGAGCAAAGTCTCTTGAAGCCTTTCCACGAAAAATGTAACTAAAATGACAACGTTCTCATTCCAAATAATATTACACTTGTAGATAACAAATAATTATATACTGTATTCGTTATTTTCCCCGATATTTGGTAAACCGACATTCAACACCAACAATCACGAAACATCAGGAGTATACTGTATTCATGTCGGCAAAATTTGCTTTTTAAAGCAAATATAACTTTATCAAATACTTAGATAACCGCGATGTTAGAAATTGTGCATTTAATGAAATTACCGGAACTGGAAGTCAAGTTTTCCTAAGTTCAGTCACCTGATTTAAAGTGCAATCGCATGACACGACCCATACTCATAGACATGCAGCTGATATTGTAGCACACTTCCTTTCTTGCATCCTCGTCTGTGTTTGAATTTAAGAAAAACGTGACATGTTTAGGATCGCCCTGGTCGCGGCCTGTTTCCTGCTTGCAGTACAATCCCACCCTATTGAGGATCTTCTCCAGCAGCCTGAAGAAGGAGGACAGATATGGGCAGTTATTATTGCTGGGTCGAAAAATTGGTACAACTACCGGCACCAGTCTGACGTGTGTCATCTCTATCATCTTCTGACCAAAAAGCATGGGATTCCCAAGAAAAACGTCATCACCTTTATGTACAACGACATCGCCTTCAACGAAGAAAACCCGCACCAAGGAGTCATAATCAACGCTCTCCATGGTAAAGATGTGTATGAAGGTGTCATGATAGATTACATGGGAAAGGACGTAACTCCACAGCTTTTCTTGGACGTCCTAATGGGCAAAGACATGGAGTTCGGCAGCCGTAAGAGTCTAAAGAGTGGACCAAAGGACACAGTTTTCGTAAACTTTGTCGATCACGGAGGTCCTGGAGTACTCGGATTCCCCGCAGGTGAACTTCACGTTGCAGACCTGACCAAGACCCTTCAGACTATGTACATGGATAAACATTACAAACAGATGCTATGGTACGTAGAAGCTTGCTATTCCGGGTCTATGTTCGACGAGTTGAGTCCTGACATGAACATCACAGCTCACACTGCATCAAACACAAAGGAGAGCTCTTACGCTTGTGTTAAAGACGAGGAGATGGATGTGTACCTTGGAGACTGCTGGAGCCTCAACTGGATGAACAACACTGAGCAGATTTACCCTAATTTGTCAAAGGAAACTGTGGAAGAGCAATACGAGATTGTGAAGAACATGACTACCCACAGTCATGCCTCAATTTACGGTGATTTGACTTACATTTACAAGGAGCCAATCTCCGTGTTCCTCGGTCATCCTGGAAGTGCAATAGAGGTTGAGCCAGTTTCTGACTGGGACTATATTTACAAGCCTATTCCCAGCCAGGATGTGATGATGGAATATCTCAAAAGTAAAAGAGATAAGTCCTTCGATGTGGAGGAAACTGAGAAACTAGACGCAGAGATCAGGTATCACATTTTAACCGAGGGCAAGGTCCAGGAGGTTTTGGATCAGATCTCTCGCCAAGTTACTGGTTCCCGGGAGATGGATACGGTGTTCTCTAGGCATCCACAAACTATAGCTCATCCAGAGTGCAACAAAGGTGTGCTGAGTGCTTTCTTCAGCCAGTGCTACAAGATGCAGACACACCCTTACATCACCAAATATCTCTATCGTCTCACCAACCTCTGTAATGCGTACAATGTGAAGAATATCGTAAGTGCTGTCACCGACAACTGTAATTGCAACTGAAATGAACTGTATACAAAATTATCTTGAATAATGAAGAATTGAAGGACTTCTACATTTTTGTTGGGATGTTTTGTTTTGTAAGGTTTTTAAGAAAATACGTTCCGAATGATAGATAATTGTATTTTTACGATGGTTGTTGATTCTTACGTAAATTTTTACTGTCTTTTTAACGGTGTCGTACATCCGGAAAACTTGAAGTTTACTCTAGCTTTTTCTTTTTCTTTGGATCTCATATCGGTACTGAATGAGGTATAAAAATCAAAACACCTGGATCAAAATAAAACGAATTGTCGAATACTTTTAAAAAGTAAGATTTCACTAAAGTGCAATGTCTCTTCTCGCTCTATAACTCTTTTAAATAAAGTCAAACTCTGGGCCTTGGTGGCTTTTCCCTGGGAGGAACAGCTTTGCTCATGTTTTAACACATGACAGGTACTTGTACATTTAATTTTTCATTACTCTTTGCGGTTAAAGATAATCAGTTGATGTAACATAACAAAACTGAGGCTGCCAAGAAGTTTTGAGATTTGTTGTGCGGAAGAAGTATGAAGAATTAAATCACTGGATGACTTTCTCGGCCCCTGTTGGGAACCGCACGATAATATAATCTCGTGCTTTGGATTAGAAAACCTAAAACAACGTCAGGTCTATCAAGATTGCATAATATGCACTGTCACACACAACTTAATACCGGAAAAACACTCGGTTTGAAAACTGATGTATGATTAATGATTGTAACTGACTCAAAGTCAATCACAAATATATCCGTGAAGTATGTGCTTTCCAAGGAGTTCAAATTCTAGTGTGGAGTAATTAGGTTTTATCTCTAATCTAATCTAATTATATCATCTGATTACGGTCAGGATATGAGACCAGTGACCAGCCATACAGTTGAAATCGTGCAATTTTTATTTTCTCGTTTCCTTTGCTCTGCTCCAAAAAGAAGACATGTTTAGGATCGCCCTGATTGCGGCGTGTTTCTTGCTTGCAGTGCAGGGATATCATCTTGATGAGGAACTCCTCCAGCAGCCTGAAGGAGGAGGAGAGATATGGGCAGTGTTAATTGCTGGGTCCTCCAACTGGTTCAACTATCGGCACCAGTCTGATGTTTGTCATGCCTACCATTTGCTAACCAAGAAACATGGGATTCCTAGACGGAATGTCATTACGTTTATGGTCAACGACATTGCCTTCAACGGGGAAAACCCGAATCGAGGATACATTATCAATGCTCTCTCTGGTAAAGATGTGTATGAAGGTGTCATGATAGATTACATGGGGATAGACGTAACCCCACAAAATTTCTTAGACGTCTTGCTGGGTAAAGAAATGGATGTTGGCAGTCGTAAGACGCTCTTGAGTGGACCAAAGGACAAGGTCTTCGTAAACTTTGTCGATCACGGAGCCCCTGGTGTTCTTGGATTCCCCAGAGACGAACTTTACTTGGCAGATCTTACTAAGGTCCTTGATGCCATGCACAGTCAACAGAAATACAAGCAGATGTTGTGGTACGTGGAGGCCTGCTTTTCCGGCTCCATGTTCAACACGCTGGACCCTAACATGAACATCACAGCTCACACGGCTGCTAACGAGAGCGAGAGCTCCTGGGCATGTATTTGGGATGATGATATCGGGGTTTATCTGGGGGACTGCTGGAGTCTCAACTGGATGAATAACACTGAGCAGTTCTTCCCTAACTTGGTAGAGGAAACGGTGGAACAGCAGTACTTAGCTGTCAAGAATATGACTTTCGAAAGTCATACTGAAATTTTTGGTGATTTGACGCTTATTTACAAAGAGCCAATCTCCTTTTTCATGGGACATAACAGAAAGAAGACAGAGACCGAACCACTGTCTCCTCCTGCCAGGAAATACAGGTACCAGTCAACAGCTACTCCTGATGTGATGATGTATCATCTGGAGAGGAAAAGGGGGAGATGCAACAACAAGAAGGAAGCAGACAGATTGGATCAGGAGATCAAGTATCACACTTTAACCGAGGGTAAGGTCCAGGAGATATTGGATCAGATCTCTCGCCAAGTTACTGGCTCTATCACGGTCTCGAGATATGCTCAAACCATAGCTCATCCAGAGTGCAACAAAGGTGTGCTGAGTGCTTTCTTCAGCCAGTGCTACAAGATGCAGACCCACCCTTACATCACCAAATATCTCTATCGTCTCACCAACCTCTGCAATGCGTACAATGTGAAGAATATCATCAATGCTGTCACCGACAACTGTAATTGCAACTGAAATGAACTGTTTAAAAAATTATCTTGAATAATGAAGAATTGAAGGACTTCTACATTTTTGTTGGGATGTTTTGTTTTGTAAGGTTTTTAAGAAAATATGTTCCAAATGATAGATATTTGTATTTTTACGATGGTTGTTGATTCTTACGTAAATTTTTACTGTCTTTTTAACGGTGTCGTACATTTTTTTTTTCTTTGGATCTCATATCGGTACTGAATTAGGTGTCAAAATCAAAACATAGCACCTGGATCAAAATAAAACGAATTGTCGAATAATTTTTAAAAAGTTAGATTTCACTTAAGTGCAATGTCTTTTCTCGCTGTATAACTCTTTCAAATAAAGTCAAACTCTGGGCCTTGGTGGCTTTTCCCTGAGAGGAACAGCTTTGCTCATGTTTTAACACATGACAGGTACTTTTACATTTAATTTTTCATTACTCCTTGCGGTTAAAGATAATCAGTTGATGTAACATAACAAAACTGAGGCTGCCAAGAAGTTTTGAGATCTGTTGTGCGGAAGAAGTATGAAGAATTAAATCACTGGATGACTTTCTCGGCCCCTGTTGGGAACCGCACGATAATAAAATCTCGTGCTTTGGATTAGAAAACCTAAAACAACGTCAGGTCTATCAAGATTGCATAATATGCACTGTCACACACAACTTAATACCGGAAAAACACTCGGTTTGAAAACTGATGTATGATTAATGATTGTAACTGACTCAATCACAAATATATCCGTGAAGTATGTGCTATCCAAGGAGTTCAAATTGAAGTGTGGAGTAATTAGGTTTTATCTCTAATCTAATCTAATTATATCATCTGATTACGGTTAGGATATGAGACCAGTGACCAGCCATACAGTTGAAATCGTGCAATTTTTATTTTCTCGTTTCCTTTGCTCTGCTCCAAAAAGAAGACATGTTTAGGATCGCCCTGATTGCGGCGTGTTTCTTGCTTGCAGTGCAGGGATATCATCTTGATGAGGAACTCCTCCAGCAGCCTGAAGGAGGAGGAGAGATATGGGCAGTGTTAATTGCTGGGTCCTCCAACTGGTTCAACTATCGGCACCAGTCTGATGTTTGTCATGCCTACCATTTGCTAACCAAGAAACATGGGATTCCTAGACGGAATGTCATTACGTTTATGGTCAACGACATTGCCTTCAACGGGGAAAACCCGAATCGAGGATACATTATCAATGCTCTCTCTGGTAAAGATGTGTATGAAGGTGTCATGATAGATTACATGGGGATAGACGTAACCCCACAAAATTTCTTAGACGTCTTGCTGGGTAAAGAAATGGATGTTGGCAGTCGTAAGACGCTCTTGAGTGGACCAAAGGACAAGGTCTTCGTAAACTTTGTCGATCACGGAGCCCCTGGTGTTCTTGGATTCCCCAGAGACGAACTTTACTTGGCAGATCTTACTAAGGTCCTTGATGCCATGCACAGTCAACAGAAATACAAGCAGATGTTGTGGTACGTGGAGGCCTGCTTTTCCGGCTCCATGTTCAACACGCTGGACCCTAACATGAACATCACAGCTCACACGGCTGCTAACGAGAGCGAGAGCTCCTGGGCGTGTACTTGGGATGATGATATCGGGGTTTATCTGGGGGACTGCTGGAGTCTCAACTGGATGAATAACACTGAGCAGTTCTTCCCTAACTTGGTAGAGGAAACGGTGGAACAGCAGTACTTAGCTGTCAAGAATATGACTTTCGAAAGTCATACTGAAATTTTTGGTGATTTGACGCTTATTTACAAAGAGCCAATCTCCTTTTTCATGGGACATAACAGAAAGAAGACAGAGACCGAACCACTGCCTCCTCCTGCCAGGAAATACAGGTACCAGTCAACAGCTACTCCTGATGTGATGATGTATCATCTGGAGAGGAAAAGGGGGAGATGCAACAACAAGAAGGAAGCAGACAGATTGGATCAGGAGATCAAGTATCACACTTTAACCGAGGGTAAGGTCCAGGAGATATTGGATCAGATCTCTCGCCAAGTTACTGGCTCTATCACGGTCTCGAGATATGCTCAAACCATAACGGATACGGAGTGCAACAAAGGTGTGCTGAGTGCTTTCTTCAGCCAGTGCTACAAGATGCAGAACCACCCTTACATCACCAAATATCTCTATCGTCTCACCAACCTCTGCAGTGGGAACAATGTAAAGAAAATCGTCGATGTTGTGATCGACAACTGCAATAGACTTAAAATGTTATCTTGAAAGTAAATTTTGAAAAATGTGACTTTTCTCTCCGTGTTTTGATTTTCCAAGATTAAGGAGACATGCATTTAAAATGTGTGCGATATTTTATCAATTAACTAATGTTACCATCCATTGATCAAGATCAAACATTTTTTATTTTCCTTTGTTGATCAAGTTTATCTTACTTTCAGTGATATGAAAATCAGTACATCTATTAATTCAATAATTCAATTATACGTTTTGAATCAAGTTTTGTTTTATTCATAAATATCCATCCTAAATGTGAACCTCAAAATTTTGGAGCCAAGATAAACACAGATTTAGACAGCCAACAGCTTGACTAAATATATTACAGCTACAAGCTAACTTAGTTTAATTGTAATTTATCACGTCACCATATCGGACGTGCCGCCTCCCATTATTGATACTAACGACATCCTATTATACCTCTTCAGGCAGTGTGCCAGTGAAGTAAACTAGACTCACAAGGATCATTGTTTTAGGGGGTACATCTGATGTCCACGCCCTTTTCATGTATTGCTTTAGTAGCAGTTACGTAATGAGCCTGACTTAGAAGTAAACAAAAAATTAACACGGTTAGGTCAATGGCAGATCGTAGCACACTGGCATCATTGACTCAGGAATGCTAGGAATGTTGCCATGGTTACCACATGAGTACCGTGCGAAAGCTAAACACGTCTTTATAACTCTCCGTGCAGATTGTCCCTCTAAAATATCTACCATGATGTCGCTCAGCATGACGCACCTCTAAGAAAGCTTCATTGAGAGCTAAAATGTTGGTACCTTAGTTATTGCTCAGCTAAGATAGGTTATCGTGCAACTGTCGACTTATTAATAAATAACTGAAGCGCACTATGTATAAACAAAATAATGTAATGTACCAATATCTCCATCTTACTGGGGTTTTCAACTCACAATGGAATATTATCAACTCTAACCTCACCCTGTGTCCTGACCACTGACCAGTGCAAAACATTACAATTACAAAACCTCAGGACAGTGTTGTGTGTGTTAACAAGTCCTCCAACATGAGGAAGGAGAAGAGTTTTGATGACCTGGTCAGCTCGAACGAGCAGGACTTCAAAGGAGCCTCCTCTGTCACCTCCGCTGCCCAGCACCAGCCTCTCTCCAGGTACCTTTTACTTGTTTACTGTGCAGATCCTTGTTTTATGTGAGCGGGGTTATTTCAGAAAACTTTGACGGTCTACTATCCAACTCCAAGTATTCGTGGTAGTGGTACGTTGTTAGTAATAAAGTTAAATATTTCTTTTTAGTTTTTGTCGGTTGTTAGTTGTCTAGCCTGATGACTCGCTGAAGTTTGCGAGAAAGTGTCATGTTTTCACATGTCATGTGTTATGCCATGGCTGCATTTCAAATTATCGAAGGGCCCTTTGATTTGCTGCATGGAGCGATTCCGTCCTTGCATATTAATTAGCCAAGTTATGGCTGGGCAAGGGTGCAGGAAAAAGCTTAATTGCCGTGTTTTATTCTAGCTGGACTTGCTTTTTCTTTTGCTCAGGTAGGCAATATAAAGAGCGGTATTGCTTTCAATGTTAGTAATTTATGTTTTAAACACTATCCGATTACTCGGATTTTACTTCTTTCAAAGTTAAAACCAATCGATCGAAAAGTCAAGGTACCTATATATATATATGCTCTAGATCTACAGAAATACCTTGCATTCCGAAGTTTTGCAGCGTATAATCTAGAACTAGAGTCTTGGCGCCTGTACAGAAAAAGTTACTTTGACACATCGATCTTGACAGCCTTTAACACTGCTGGACATGAAGGCATCGATAAAACTCCAACAATAATGCAATGTGGAGTCATACCTCTAGATATGATACTCACTTCAATGGTGACAGCTGTCATTAAAGGGAGGCACTCGACTTCTCCATTTAAAAGTTACGCTCTTTAACGTTATAATTTGTCTCCAGTAAAATGTTACTGGGATCTCAATTGTGCAGTCAAGCAAATGTCTGTCAGACTGTAAAATGTACCATATGAATAGGGAGTCTGAATTTCAGATTTATGGAAAGGATGTTTTTAACTTACCACATACAAGTCGACCAAGCCCCGACCACATATTAAAATAGACGTAAAGATCCTATGTTTGTCATCCATAAATTTCTAATCGTAACTATGATAATAAGATGGAGTGTTCATTGTTCAGTCAATGGATGGTTTGAACCAGTGCAGCTTTTATACAATTTTATGTGATTTGTCATTTTAAATTTTCAAACAAATCTCAGGTCCACATCGTTAGTGCACAACAACGTTCCACGAGCCACGGGGCATGTAAAGCGGTACTACTCCTTCAGAGACAACATGGAAGAAAGCAACCCCCGCTACTCACCCAAACCCTCCAACAACAAGACAGCTTACAAAAACAGAAAGAAAGCCGGATGTAAGTGCTCTTCCCTTCTTACATTGTTCGATAAAATTATTAATTGCGTAATATGACAAGTTTAAGTTATTGATTGTTTAATGATTTAACATCCGCAGCGTCGGTAAGTAAGCAGAGCTCAGCGGAAGAGGACACATTAACCAACTCTGTCCAATCCTCCGGTGACGTCACCAACTCTTGTACGTCACCAACTCTTGTCTCGTTACTGTGCCTGCCTCTCCCAAGGTTTGTCTCTATTTTACCTCAAAGTCATGTCCAATAAGGTCTCTAATTTAGCTGAAAATAACAACAAGAACTGGTTGGTCATGTTGATTCTAATCTCATCCTAGACAACTCACGTTAAAAATTGTTCCCTATTTCAGGAGAAGAAATCAATAGACACCACCTGGACGGATCCCAACGGAGATGCCGGAAAAAGTGCCGCTCCCTCTCAGACGGACGCCAGTTCAGTACCGGAGAACTCCATGGCAACCCACGCTGGTTCGTTGAGCGGAGGTCAGGACGATCCTCCCAACACCGACCAAAACGGAACTGCTGCTGGGGAGAACAAAAAATCTAGAAAGTGTTGTGTAATATTGTAAAAGTGTAATATTTATTTCCACGTTTTGAAATCACATCTGTGAATGGTCCAGCTTGCACTAGAAAATATGATTGGGTACTGCCGAAGATAATGTCAAGATTTATCTGTTACAAGTCTGTATTAAATTGCTGTACTACACTTTGTGACGTAGAAGAGAGAGAGAGGGGGACTGAGAGTGAGCCGTTGCTTTTTAAAGAAATGCGATTTGCTGGAGCAATGGTGTCGGAATTTGACCACCATATACGGTCAAAATGATGAAGTACCGGGCACTGCTATGAGTGATGATAATTTTAAAGCATAGGAATTCTTCAGTAGAATGCTGTAGGAAATAAGGACAGATTTTTTTACTGTAGGCATAGCTTATTAACGAATGAATATTGATGATTTAAAATTCTTTATATTTCACGGACAAATTTCTGATTGCAATATAATAATTTATTAACATTGTGATTTCGTAACTAGTTCTAACTGTTACTACAATCTTATTCTCTGGAATGCCGGAATGGTCTCTCGATTCCTGAATACCATCCATCAAGTCTCAATAACTAGGGCTGATTATGATTAAGAGCGAGTTTATGACTTCAATAATACATTTTCCTCCTACAGCAGTCTACTGTACATGTTTTGCAAAATGAATGTTTTGAGCACATTTTTGTTAAATATAACTACTTTTGTGAAAATTAAAGTATTATTTTAATTTCTGATACAAGACGAAGACCTCGTATAATTGTTTAGTGTATGTCGGGGGGGGGGGGGGGTTGTGTATATAATAACCACTGCAATCTCCCATGAGAACCTCCCTCACCCTGTTCCCCGTAAACAAACTGAAAAGTGACATGTACTTCACTAAATACCTGTTTATCTCAGCCCAATTCCTGGCCCACTGGACACGCTAAATCGTCCCCCCTAACATATCAGCGAGCTAAACAACCCGCCGGCCGATGCGATGACTTTCGTCCACAATCATTCACATTGTTTAGTACACGATATCAGCTAAAGTAATTCAATCTTAATAAACAGGTCCTAATCCGTACGTACGCTGTTCGGTAAAAACAACTGGTAGAAAGTGTGTCCTCTTGATATCATGGTGAGATTGGATTGGTTTAAAGTATATCCACAAATCATAGTCTGGAGACTCCTAGACCCCAGTTAAGGGGGGGGGGGGGGGGGGGGGGGGCTAAGATGAGAAGTATGTATGATACCGGGCGAAAAGTACGTACTTGTACTTTATTTTGAAAAGTACGTATGATACCTCAGTGTACGATTCAAAAAATTTTCAAACTTATTTTCACAGGCGCGATGTAACGATTTTTAGATCCGACGTTTTATTTATTGGAAACTCCCGACTTCCACGATTGAAATTTCATTGTCATGAATATGATGTCTTTCTTCTTATTTCATGTGCTATACTAGCTGGTACTGCGCTACACGACAAAAGATGCAGCCTAATCTTAGAAGCAGTCCCCTTGTAACTTGTAACGGGGGGGGGGGGGGGGGGGGGGGGGGGGGGCCCGGCCCGTGACCCATACTCCCATTATATGCACTGCTCAGAAATAAAATGTATTGCTTTTAGGCACTATAATGTAAAAAATGTCACAATTAGGATTTTTGGTCTAAAATATAGTAGATTAGGTCAATCTAACAATTATGATACAAGTATTATAGGGCAGTTGATGTAAACATCGTCACAAAATGATAAGACATCATAAATAGGTTAAATTTTACGGGAAAACTCTATATAAGGACGATACACGGATACAGTTGATTCAAGTATAGGGCCAGGGCAGTTTTTTATATTTCCTCTCATGTATTAATCATTTCAGACTGTAATTAGGACTGTTCACGTGAAAGAAATTGCATCTCAATTTTACAATGACGTACGTTTATGTGACGAAATTTACATTTCTTGACCCTATTTTAAAGAACCATACCTCGGTTAGAATTCAATGTTCTTCCAGGAATTATTGGTTGGTTATTGTTCAGCAAATTAGATCTCAAGTTTAACAATGCTGAGTTTAATTGACTAAGTTACTGAAATGTGACAAAATTCACTTTTTCTGCCCCAACAGTATAATTTCAATGTGACGAAAAATTGGCATGGGTTTCTACATTTCTTGTATAAATCCATTCCAACTATAATAAGGACTATTGATATGAAAGAAAATCTATCTAAATTTTAAAATGACGTATGTGGTATGTATGTGACGAAATTTACATTTCTTGGCCCTATTTTGAAGAACCATACCTCGGTTAGAATTCAATTTTCTTCCTGGAGTTATTGGTTGGTTATTGTTCAGCAAATTAGAACTCAAGTTTAACAATGCTGAGTTTAATTTTACTAAGTTACTGAAATGTGACAAAATTAACTTTTCCTGCCCCAACAGTATAATTTCAATGTGATGAAAAATTGGCATGGGTTTCTACATTTCTTGTATAAATCCATTCCGACTATAATAAGGACTATTGGCATGAAATCTACATTTTTAAATGACGTATGTGACGAAAGAAAATCTATCTAACTAATGCAATGGCTGATGTGACGAAATTTACATTTCTTGCCCCCTATTTTGAAGAATCATACCTCGATTAGGATATAATGTTACTTTATCACCATACCTATGTCGATAAACTAGTTACTTTGCCAACAAATAGCAAATAAAGTTATCATATTTTTTTGTGACGAAATTTACAAATTTTTACCATGTTCAGGTGTTGAAATTTTGCCAATGTTAACATATCACTGCCATATAATAATTTATATGACCGGTGTGTGGTTGAAATATTGTTAATTGATCCATAGTACGTAATATAGGGTGTTTATAGTTGGTATACTAATATTTACTCAATTTCATACCTGTTGAGATATCATACAAATGTATGTGACAAAGTTTACCTATTTCTGCCTTCTGTATTTGTATTTGCCTATAACAATGAAATATGTGAACAATTCCAAACACATTCAGCTCACAAAATAATGCTAGACTATTCGGCATTTCTTGTCAGGATGTCATAAACATCCCTCATATAAATTTCTTAAATGTGTGATGGAGTTTACATGTAATGTGCTACCATTTAACGAAAAAAGTCGCTAAATATGTAGATAATAGTCATAATCATATGCAACTATCCTATAAATTGGAAATTCGAAAATTTGGTCATACACGGCAACAAGGGGTCCATATAAACTCTGTATGTTTTTATAGTGTGACAAAGTTTACAACTCACTGCCGGCCGCATTTAAGCGATATCTTATCGTCTGATAAAGATATCGTTATGCGACAAAGTTTATCTAGAGGATGAAACGAATATCCTAGGCATAGAGGGCTTATATAGTTTCATAGTATGACAAATTTTATATCAGTAGGGTCACTAATATTTACCGATATCCTCAAACTTCAATGAACGTGTCCATATTGATATAAGTAATATTGTGTGATCAGACTATTATGTTTCCAATTAACTCAACTGGAATAATTTTAAGTTCGATCAACTTTGATCCTCGAAAAACACTAAATTCGAGACGTGTGTTAATATATGGGCTAATTCAGCACTAACACGTAACAGTCGCCTCCCCCAGGAATTCTATAGCGATGACGTCCACACAGCTGGGCCTGAAGCTTGATGGAGATTGACCTTCAAAACAACCCTATACATATCAGCAATCAGACTGTTCAACAGACAAGACGAGTTTATGAGCCGAATTGAGGGAGTTAGAGTTCATATCGATCATGTTCTAGTAGTAGTAGTAGTTGGGATAGCTGCGTATCTAGAGTTCACTGATCCTATCACTTTTAGAGATATTGATATGTTTGGTCGGGAGATACTTATCATATATCAATGGGAGCGTTTCGTATTTGCAGCTCAGAGAAGTCGAGGTTTATGGCGCTGATGATAAAGGTATGGTTATTGTTTCATAGTCTTTACGCTGTGTTCTTTAATTATGATAGATCTATTTTATATTAAAATCATTTCAAGTTCAACGTGGGAATCATCGAATATACATTTCAAAATGACTGTTCAACTATATATTTATAAAGACTTTTGAAATGATCGCTAATCAATATTTTCAGGAATATCATATAACAACATAGCAGCTAAAGCGTTAGCAAGTCAGATTGATGACTACCAATCGGAAGCAGAATATGGTGGATCTGCCGCCTATTGTACAGCTGAGAAATAAAAGCTGTCGATGGTAATACATACGACATCTGGAATGAGCAAGATCAGTCAAGGTTGGAGGAAATTGGAGTTAAGCAAATCTTGTGGTTATCTAAACCTACCATTTAATAATTGATAATTTGTTTACTTCTTACTTGTAAACATCTAATGAGTTCGAATAATAACCAGCACTTGGTGGCTCTTACTAATTCGCTCGCCCAAAAATTTCACGTGACTTTGGTTTTTAGCTAACCATAACCCTTACCACAACCCTAACCCTAACCCGGGCCCTAAACAATCGAATTCGCATTTTACTAGCCTGTCACGTGACCAAAACGGTTTTTTGCCCATAACTCTCCAGGGAAGCATTTTAACCCTACGTCATGGGGGGTGATTCGGAATCAGCGTCCAAAAATACACTGAATCAGATCACTTTCATGCCCAAAGGGCCTTTTCACAAGAATTTTCTTAAAATTTGGGCGAGCGATTTAGTAGGAGCGCACAGATATCTTAACTGAACATTGTCGCCTTGGTGAGTAATAATAGACTGTCTAACTCTGCCCAATAACAGTAAAAAGCTAGGGATCAGTGACCATTTACATTGCAGAATCAACGACGTAATTTCTCTCTCGACCTTTTCCATATTTGATTGGGGAGATGCCATGCTGTTCAGTATGTACTTACTATTAAACCCTGTAGCGTATTTTAGTCTTTTTGTTATCTCACTTCTATTTAGTCTAAACATTGTTTGGATTTTAAATCCGTTTTAATCAGATCATCAGCCGATCTAGTAAATGTTAACAATATATCATCACAGTTTTTCAATACGGTTACAACGAATTTTCGAAATGATGAGCACGAAATTCCGGTGTAGGACGACGTGAATTTATTTCGTATCTTTAGGGAAAAATAATACAATCGACTCCATTTAACAATTAATTATTTTGTATGGCACAGCACAATCAAAGAATACAAAATATGGTGATTCAATGTTCTAAACCTTATAATTATGCAGCGAAATTATATAACAGTATTCATTCCAATTATCTTAATCAGCAAAAGTGGTGAAAGTCAATGCTTATCGGAGAGTTTGAGAGTAACCAGAGTTTATTATTTGATGCCACCTCAAC